TAAAATAATATAACATAAAGTCGAATCAAAAAACAAAATATATTGCAGAAATTAAAATAAAATAAAATGAAATTATATTAAAATAAATTTAGTAATATTATATAAAAATAGAATAAAATGGAATAAAATTAAAAAATCAAATAAAATAAAATAAATAATTTAAATTGAATACAATTAAATTAATTTATTTATTAAATAATAAAAGGTCATAATGAAGTAAACCAAAATAAAACAAAAAATAAAATAAAAAAATGAGATAAAATAAATTAAATAATATATATTAAATAATATACATTAAAAAACTAGAGAAAATTAGCTAAATTAAATTAAAATAAAATAAAGAAACCAAAAATTTAATAAAACAAAATAAATTGAAATAAAATTTTAAAAATTAAATGAAATAAAAAATATAAATTGAATACAGTAAAATTTATTTAAATAAACTTAAAATATTTTATAAAATAACATAAAATTATTAAAAAAAATTAATTTAGGAGAAACAATAAAAATTAAAAAATTTAAATAAAATAAAAAAACAAAAAATTAAATTAAATAATATAAAACCAAAAATTGGAATACAAGAAACTAAATTAATTAAAAAAAATTAAGGTAAAATAAAAGAAAGTGAAATAAAATTAAATTTAAAAAACTTACTTAAATAAAAAAATATAAATTAAATTAATTTAATTTAAATTTGAAATTAATTTAATTTAATTTAAATTTAAAAATAATTTAATTTTAATTTTAATTAATTTAATTTAGTAAATATTTACTTATAAGAGAATAAAATAATGAAATAAATCCAAGTCAAACCAAATTAAATTATTTTAAATTAACTTAATTTAATATAATAAATAAGATAAATTTCAACAAAAAAGTAGTATAAATAGAAAAAGACAAAACAAAGTGAGTAAAATCCAAGAAAGTGTACGTGCACCGTTAATTGAAGTAGCGAAGTGATTTGTGACCGTCAAAGTGCCGAAGAATTGCACATCTACAGTCGTGCCCTCAGGCTATTGGCATTGACTATGACAGCTCTGTGCACTTTGTGGCGGCCAACGCCTAACACATCATTATAATCACATCAGCAGTACATGTGTTCGCACGCGTATACACACACATATACGTATAAATGCACACATTATTTGGCACAACAGCAGACGTTCGCTATTTTGCCATTGTCTATATGCTGACCACTGTGCTGCTGTGCTTTTAACAAGTTTTCGTATAATTTCTCATTAAATTGTAACTGCGTGCGTCAGCTGCCACATGTCCGTCGCCACATTATTATTGTATTAGTTGCTGCGTGTGTGTGTGTACGGCTGCGTGTGTTAGACATTTAAAGCCGCAACGTCCGGCATTAGAGTCGCGTCGTTGGCACTAACCGCAACGCATTAGCACAGCACATCGGCAGTGGCAGCGGCAGCGGCAGCTCACAATCAAAACAATGTTAACCTGTGTGTGTCGTCCCGTCTCCGGTAATTTGCCAAAAATGCCACCGTCAATGATGCCTGCAACGAAAGCGCCACGCAGTGCCATTGCCATCGCTGGTATGGGTGCAGCGCCCACTGTGGTGGTGACAGCGGAGCCGAAATTGAATGTAAGTTTCACATTTAGTATGTAGTACATTAAGCTTTGAAACGTGAGGTATCAAGCAGCTGCTTCAGCGCAGCGCTGTGGGAGCTATATTTTGGTCCGCCCAGCGGTGGGTGTTGACAGTGACCGAAAAGCCAATTTGCAGGAAAACCTTAATGGAGTTTGAGTTTGGTGTAAGATTGTACATTAAATGCATATTTGCGCACATATAAACATATACTTTGTTTATATACATATATGTATGTATATTGGTGTTTAAACTTTTCTGCTTCTACGTCAACTCAACTTCCGTTAACGGTGTCGCCGTTGCTTTTAGTTTGGCTTAATAAAATGTGATAATAGTCATAAGTAGTGTGTAAGCTCGAGCTATTGTCCTCTACTTTTATACTTTAGCTGATCCTTATTTATTATGCATGTATAAGTGAATTTTTCGTTGTTGTTGTTTCTCTTACTTTTCTATAGCAAAGTGTATAACTTTCATTTATTTTGTAGCCATGCTTTGTTTTTTCTATTTTTTTGGTTGTTGTTGTTTTTCACTCATTCGTGACATTGTTATTGTGCTGGTGAGGGTTAACAGCAAATCATTATAATCATGATTTACGAGTATATAAAAAGTTGGATTTGCTTAATATATGAGTGTCACGTGAGAATTTTCGGTTACTCATACGACGTGGCGCACGAGAGAATTCTATATGTAGGGCCAATAACTATGTTTCTTTTGTCGTGGTTTTTCGAAAAAATGGGGTAATACGTATGTTATCAACCAGATGTGATGAGATGAGATTTTATTAAGCTTAGACTAGGTAAAACTAGTTCGAAGAAAAGTCGGTATATTAAGAGGCTTTTGTACACCAGCAAGCGAACCAATGAGTGTAGCTTCCTTCATTTCCGTCATTTGCTCTGACTACTCCTCCATTAGCCGTAATATAGTCAGATAGACGCTTTTAAAAGAGTAGCATTAATGCAAGAATTTGATTGATATAATCAAATAGCGAATGGAATTGGTTGGAACATATTATTTGTGATGCAAGTATACCACCTATACAAAAATAATATCCTAGAAAAGAGATGGTCCCAAAATACTAGATACAGATTTAACTCTGTTGTGACCAAACTTCACGATTTCACTAGAGTTTGGGCAAATGATATTAAAAGCTTAACAAGAAGTGGCATGTCAACCACCGACACCAAAAATATTGAAGTAGTTCAAAGTTGACAAACTTTGCAAAAATATCTCGAAGAAAACAATTATGGTCAGTTTCAACACTGTCATTCATATATTGGATGAGTGCATAAGTTCGTGCCCGACTCCGTTGGATGCCGTTCGAATCGTTTGAGAGTGGCGCTCGTGAAAGAAATATATATCGAAAGGTGGATTGCATCCGATCTGTGCATTTGGTGGGATATTCGAGGCGTGATCTATTTTGAGCTCTTGCCAGCTGGAGAAACGATCACTGCCAACAAGTATTGTCAGCAATTGGTCGAATTGAAGAAAGCAATCGATGAAAAACGTCCGATTTTGGCCAATCGCAAAGGAGTTCTTTTCCATCATGACAACGCCAGGCCACATGTTGCAAAACCGACCCTGGCCAAACTGAAGGAGATAAATTGGGAGTATTGCCGAACATGATGGCGAATACATAATTGATTAATAAAAGCGCTTTCTTCAAAAATTTTCAATTTTAGTTTGCACTTGAAATCGGGCACGAACTTATGCACTCATCCAATATAATATAGATTGCTTTTGCAGTAATTGATGCCGTCTTCAGCGAATATTATCTTCCAAGCCGAAAATCTTCTCGGACTTATCTGCTTAGACAAACGACTTCACATAGCCTCACAAAAATTAGTCTATCGGTGCCGAACTGCAACATATGGAGACCACACCACAGGCCCGCAATGCGTCATAAATCGATTGTCAAAAATTTTCTTCAATAAACTGATTATTTCTTAAGGGAACCAAAGGTCGTCCCCAACTACTTCCTTCAATTCAGTTACGAAAAAGTTATTATTTACAGCTCGATAGCGTTCTCCATGGACTGTAACAAAACGGACGGTTTGCTTTCTGAAGAAATATCTCTTTGTCCCATTTGCCAGAAAATCATACCGTACAGTGACTTTTTGAAGATGTAACGGTGTTTCAACACAGTCTTTGCATTCTGTTCACTTGAAATGCGAAAATCTTGTCTATTAACGCGCCACTTCAACCAAAAGTAAACTTCAATGCTGAGCAAAATTTTCTTGCGAAAATGAGGTTTGATGGTTATCTCGTCTTTGTTTCGCACGCGGACGCGCTTGATGTTCGTTCTACAACAATTCTGGCAAGAGTTGGGTTTTGCAAGTTCGCAAGACAAGATCCTGCCGCAAAATGTGCCATGAAGTGAAGAGCAACAGGTGCAAATCTTGCACGCGATAGCAGTTGTGGTCCGAATGGAATTTTTTCGATATTCGGCTTCCACTCTGCTGGGCGATTTTTGCGACCGATAAGCGATCGCAGCGCGCGTTGCTTTGAGCGAGTCAAACCATTAAAATAAATTTGCACAATTTCTGAGCGTTGTTTCGGAATAAATCTGTACACTGTGAGCTGGCCAACTAGCCTGAGTTTAAGCCCATTAACAGCTGTCAAAAAAAGAGCAACTCCAAAAAAGTTTTGTCTCATTGAAAACCATATCTACTTGCAATGAAAACATTATATATTTTTTTAAAAATGCTTTGAAAATGAGAAATAAAATGTAAGTAAGTGAAAGTTTACAATATACCCACAAGGTGTTGCATGCCCTGTCAAGTCAAGCACTTCAGTCATACATAAGTTGACCTGCCTCCTTCCCTACTTCACTTTATATATTTTATTTTATTTTTCTCACGAAACGTTTTATGGCCATTTTTATTATTATTACTTTTATTATTTATATTTTTTTGTATTTATTTCCTGTGATTGATTAACTCACAGCTTATATTTATGAACTCAAATGAATTATGCCTGTAAAAGCAGCTTATTTTGTCTGTCTGCTTGTTATACTCGCAGGTAATTTAAATAAGTATAATATGTATGTACAGCTGAATATGTATATGTGTATATATTAAGCATATTCAACAAATTTATTTATTAATTTTTTTATCTCTTTTCTCTTTTCATTCCAATTATACCCACTTGGAAATACATACAACGAACAAACTGAATCTTCAACGTCAACGGCTTCATCAACTTCAATTTTACCCACCACTCACCACTCAACCACATCACTATCAACGCCAATAAAATTCAATTTTCATTCACGCATTTGCGCGTCTTCAACACAACACACACACACACATGCCGTTGCCGATGATGAAATTAAACAAAATTCTCCAAACTCTCGCCGCTGCTTGTTACCTATGCTACAATGCACTTGATACGACTCCAGGTGCCTGGCAGGCTGACATCAGCCGAATTACGGGCGATGGCACTGCGACAACAACAGCAAATCGACTCACAACACCAACTGTTGGCCACCAAGGAGCAACGTTTGCGTTTCCTCAAATCGCAAGAGGTACGAAATGCTGTCGCAAGCGCTGAGGGTGAACGGCTGCGACGTCTGCGGGAGCGTGTGGAGGCGCAGGAATCGAAATTGCGACGACTGCGTGCGCTGCGAGGTCAAGTGGACCTACAGAAGACTTACAATGTTACGCTGAGTAAGTACCAAAGAGCGGTAAAAAGAGCTGGCTGGCGAAAAGGCTAAGAGCTGTAAAATAGTTTTAAAAATTTTTATATATATATATATATATGTATGTATTATAAGTCTAATAGTACTTACGTTTGTGCTTTTGTATGTTTGTTTATTTGTGTGTGTGTGAGCATTTTAGAGTGTGTTGCTATTTTTCACCTTAATAAACATATTTACATCTTGTAAGTGGCTTTGTTTTTACTTGGCTCACTTCTTTGAGATTTCCATGTAAAACCGTCGTTGCCTTGAGTGTGTGTGTGTGTGTGTGTGTGTGTGTGTGTGTGTGTGTGTGTGTGTGTGTGTGTGTGTGTGTTAGTGATCACAATACAAATAACCGCAAATGAGTAATAAAAGTAATAATAAAATGAAACACAAATTAGATAAAACACAAGTAAATGCATGTGTGTGTGTGTGTGTGTGTGTTTATGTGTGTGCGTGGCTCATTTTCAGCCACAACACGCCTCAGCGAGTAGTTTGCCATATGTCAAAAGCCACTTGCACGTTTTGGGTGAACACCAGCGGCTAAAAAGCGTCAACAACACATCGCCTTGTCAGTCACGAAAAACGGACGGAACGAAAAAGAATCTCTGTTAAAGTGCTTTTGGCGAATTTTGACAAGTCATGGAAGTGTTTTGGTCAGACGCTAGTGGAATGTTATTAAAAAAATAAAATAAACAAAGTAAGAGTGGGAGAGAGATAGAGAGAGAGAGAAAACACAGGAAAGTTTTGGCTGAAAGAGGCGTTAAAGGAAGTGTGAGGAATTCTCAATTTACATAGCTCGCAGTAATGGAAATTTTAGTTTTTCTATTCACTTTCTTTGACCTTAAGTGTATTATTGTACACTGGGTATATTGGGCTTGTTCATCAATTGGTGTCTGATTTGTGTGTCTTGCTGCAAGAGAGAGAAGCGCCGACCTAGCCAACTATCATCGCAATCGTCTGTTCGTACGGCCCACTTCTCCTTGTATCGGGCCTTTCCTACGCAACCAACTTTCCGTATTTCCACCTAGCTGTGTGTCTTTCAATCCAAACTTCGTGTAATCATCAATATATATTTTTGTTCTTCTTTGTGGACATCTGTTTTCTCACCCATCAGTACCTTAGTCAGTCTGCCTGTATTTTATTTTTACGAACGCTCCTTTGAATTCTTCCTTGTCTGCCTCACTTTTCCCGTAATGAGTTGTACTTCAGGGTTTGTAATAAGTCTATTCATCGTCATAAGGCTATTCCTGCTTCACTTCCAAACCTCTCAACCGATTTTCAGCCGAGCTCCATTTCCAATTTACGGTTAGCGTCTTCAATTTTTCCCAACTAGTGGAGAGACTTACAGTTTATTCTAAGCCGCTTCTGGACAACCGAATAATTTTTATGAGAAGCTTGTATTTCATACCACAAATACCTCAGAGAGAGAAAAATCAATTTCCCATAATGTTGTTTGTTAATCGGACCAGAACTACTGTTCATCAATTCCTTCTCCTTTTAAAAACTCTTTGACAATTCCCTCTGAGGAAAGATTTTGTCCGTTTTTATCGAGCATCGCCTTATATTTTCATCAGTTTTCGCACGCCTGTTTTCCTTTTAAAACTTGGTTGGGCCGTTCTCTCAGCCCGTTCATCGTAGCAACGGTCTAGTTTTTAATCGTTTACGTTCAGTTTCGTTCATTTGGCAACTTCTCTTTCCACCGACCGCCTTGTTTTCTCTCCTTGCTTTGGTTAGTCATTCTAACAGCCCATTTATTGTAGCTGGATTCCGTTTGTGCTATAAATATCTTTTCATTGTTTGGTTTATTCGTCAACTCACACTTCTCTATCTCTTGTTTCCTTCTTTACTCCGACCTACCTGTTTCTTCGGTGCGTTGATTGGAGCCATGCGCGTGTTGGATTTTAATTAAACTTCCCATCATTTCGTTCATCAGTCAACTTATCCTTCGCCCGTCGGTCTCATCTTCGCTCTATACGTCGGTGTAGTCATTTCTCAGACGGTTCACCGAAGCGTGGTTCCATCTAACTTTTAATCGCTTCTCCAATTCGTTCTTCATTCCTGCATTAAAGCCCATTCACCGGAGCAAAGGCTCCTCTCTCCTCGATCTAACCAACGTTTCGTTCACTAGACATCTTACCCTTCGTTCTTGCTATACTTCGTCATGTCTTCGCAGTCCGTTCTTCGTGGGAAGTCCGTCTAAAATTTTATCGATCTTGCGTATGGTTCGAAACTCGCCCGATAGTTCGTATTACCATCCAACCGAACCCTCATACATATGTTCGTCTGTTCCACTTTTCTTGCAATTTCTCCATATAATAATCCGTCTACCCGTCTATTCGTCCCTTCTGCCTTCTTTGCACTTCGAAATACAGATTCAATGTATGGCTAAGAAAGCTGAACCCATCTTGTGAAGCAGGCTCGATACTTAGAAGAATTTCCCACTTAGGTTTGAATTGAGTATGAGTGAGAAAAAGTTGGCTTAAAATGCTTCTGATTCGTTCTCAGTCTTTAAAAGACTTTTACGTACAAGGTTCATTTCAAAGTCTAAGGGTATTCTACAGAGCACCCAGTCCGGAAGCTAAGTTAGAAGAGAACAGTATTGCTAGTCGCTCGAAAGTTCACAGCTCTTATCTGCCATGAGAACTCTTTCGAATACAGAGATAAGCTCAGAAACCCAAGCAATTCTAGAAAATTCAATAAAAATTTAGTTAGCGGTAGCCGCAAGACTCTTCGAGCTCTACAAAAATAGTAAACCCACAGTACTCATATTCTCATATTATAACTCATTCAGTACCACGTTTCTAAGTCCAGCGCAACTTGGGTTCCCTTTTCGTTTTTCGACTCGTTCCGAGCTGAGCTTGCCCTTAGTTTATTTATTACTTAACATTTTCTCCATTCACCTTGCGCCGCTTATTTTTCCGTCCTTACACTTGCTCGAATTGTTGCACATTTTTCCCTTAACTTTTCATTGTTGCTGTACGCGGGATTAAAATGGCTGACTCTTAAGTATTGTTCTACACGATGTTCTTTCAACTCTAATTGGATTTGTTGAAGCTGGGGGGGATTCGTCGACAGCCGCGCTGATTTCCGTCACTTCGCAGATCACGAAACCAACACAACTTCGCTCTTCACCTCTACCACCAACACCATACGCTGTGGCTGCTTTATTACGCACACCACACAAGCTCAAGAGCAACCCACTTGTCCAATTCGTTTCTAACATCCTATAAGGCTACTTTGATGTATATGTATGTATGTATGTATATACAGCTAATAGAATGTGGCATGTGACCTACCATACCGCTGCCACTGTCACACTCGCTGCAGACGCGTCAACCTCGGCACCGGTGAATAAGAGCCGAGATCCTTAGATACATGAAATCCTTACTAAGCGGATTATAACCGGCACGACCAGCTCACAGCTCGACAACTCACCGGCTTCAGCCAACCAGACGGGCTTTAAACTGCTTTTCGCTTGCCTTGGCAAAGAGCAAAAAAAAAAAAATAGAACAGATTTGCATGTATGTAGTTGTAAATATGCTAAGTTTGCTTTGAGTGAAATTAATGAAATACACACACACACACTACATACATATTTACATGAATATACATATTTTAAATACAATTTTATGCTGTCATTGATAGCTCCAGCCAACAGGACATGCCAAGCATCGCTCTGTCGGCTATTAGTTTGACGCGCAGGGCGCTTGGGTTGTACGGCTGGCTTTGCTAGTGGATTATGAGTCTTTTCGTCCGCCACAAATTGGGGTTTCCGCATTGCGAACCGCTCGTAAATACCTTTAAAGCTGTTAACTAATTAAAATGTTAATGGCGGTTGATGAGTGTTCAGCGTTTGGGTGTGCAAAGTCAGAAACGGTTAAAACTTTTCGAATATATTTTAGTAATATTAATACGCTTATGCATACATAACTGCACACGAACATACATATTCGTATACATATGGGGGTATGAAAAGTTTAGTAAAATCGCTCTCCGTCTATGCGGTGCCATGCTTTTAGTGGCCAAGCGTTGTATGTACGATTATATAGAATTTTATATGACCGCTGATCCTGTTAGTTGTTTTTAGTTTTTGTTTCTAGTTTTTGTTGTTTTATTTTTCTCTTTGTCATGTGAATATATATGTGAAGAGTTGTTGGTAGATTTTGTGGTTCGTGACTTGAAAGCGTCGAAATTGAAAGTATTAAATTACACGTGCCATTAACTTGTAATTGCCACGATATATGCATGAGCACACACGCAGGCATACATAGATATGCACATATTAATATAAGTGCTTAACTTTAGCGCTTAATGAAATATTCTATGAAAATTAGTGTGCGTGTATGTGTGTGTGTGTATGTGTTGGATGTGCAAACAAATAATCAAACTAATCTGTGGCCATTTCATCAGTTATTACAATTTGGCAAAAGAGAGGCGCTAAACAGCCGGCAGGATTCTAAAATTATTTTCAACAAATAATTACTCAGTATTTAATCAGCTTTAAATAAACAGTTTAAAAACTATGTTTTGTTATGTTAGTTTAAGTTAGATAGCTTTTAGTACCCAACAAGACAGCATCGTAACGATAAATTTCACGTTAATTAAAAATTTCAATCGATGCTGTTGAAAAGTTAGGAAATTACTGTTAAAACAGCAATCGAAATAAATTTTATTTCGTTTTTTATCCCAAAACGAAAAGCAGTCGTTGATGTTAAAACATTAATAGGAAATGTTAAGCGTTAACAGATAATGTTAAGAGTTAACAGATTATGTTAGGACTTAACAGATTATGTAAAATCAAAAACAGACAATGTTGAAGATTAAAATTGAATCATTTCAAGCAGCAACTTTAAAATTAAGAATCTCATTTTGCTTCGATAACATCACGCCGGAAACGAAACGAAATCGTCTCGTTAAGTTTATTTTCATGTTAACAAAATGAAATGACATCGGTTCGTTAGTTGATACATCTCTGGTACATAGAAAAAATACAAAAATAATTCAAAAAAATACAACAAAATACGGAAAAATATAAAAAAATATAAAAAAATATAAAAAAATTTACAAAACTTTAAGCGAGTCAAGAATGTCGTTTTCATTTCAAATAATCTAACCTTCGGCTTTATTATTTCTCCAAAGTTTACCAGTGTACTTGCTAAGACGGCAAATTGTTTGTGAAGTTCATTTGTACGCACTGAACTCTTACATTCCTCTTGAAAATTTTTAATATCTGGATATAGCCAACGAACGCTACCAATATTGTTAACATAATAAGCAGATATACACGTAAAAGAGCGACACGTAAGAAATGGGATTTGAGCCGTAACATCTGTAAATGGATCTTTACCTCTGTCGTGAGATCAATACCAGTTTGTATGTGGTGACTGTATGTATGACTCATATCAAATAAACCGAAAAATGCTAATCTTCTAAATAGAATTCAAAGACCAGCGAAGATTAGCAGAGACGGTGTACGTAAGACCATGACAAAAGAGACTTTAAATGTGATTATCGATATTTGATTAACAGATTCAATGGGTTTGCACACTGCAAGTCAGTGGAATAAGCAAGGATTTGGGCACAAGACAATCCAAGAGAGAAACAATTTCGTATCCAATAGCACAGATCGCAGCTTCTCAATTTTTGCTAGCAATAATTAAATAACGCATATACCTAAATGGAAGGAATGGAGCAATTTTATCGATACTGTATGTATGTATGATATGTATACTGAACGCTAGAAAATTGATGGTAGAGTTAGCGTAGGTGTCCTCTCAAAGCATCGACCTTTTAAGCTTTCATACAGGCCACCCAGTCATTCTGGGGTATTTCAGGCTGAAGTTTCCGCCATAATTGCGGCAGCAATCTACATTGAAACTGAACTCAGGGGAATAAATATCTTTATTTTCAGCAATCGTCAGAGAGTGGTTAAGTCGCGTGGCTCCCTTAGAACGGTTACAAAAATTTTGCTAGACTATCGCAAGTCTCTAGAAGAGCTGTTCGAACAAAACAGATTATTTCTCTTTTGGGTTTCTGGTCACAGGGACATAGAAGGTAATTGTTAGACAGGAGAACCAGCAAATTCTTCCTGATTCCTGACAAAAGAACGCATTGGTAAGCCTGCTGCTCAGATAATTCACTGCAGGTAGGCTGTATTTGGATGGTACCACACTGCTACTGCGGAAATTCTCGGCAACCTTAGCAAAAATTTTACCGGAAAAGATCACTCGAAATGTACGCTCTCTGGGAGAAAAAGGTGTAGGAGTTTCAAAAGCTCATTGCTTAATAAGACGGCATGCAGCGTCGCGGCTAAGAGCTCCTTTAAGGAGATACTGTAGAAGCCGAGAAGCAGGCAACGGTGCCTCATAATATTAAAGCCTTTACAAAGAGCCAGAATGTTCCAAATGTGGAATAAAGATCCCTTACTGCGGCGGTCCCAAAATTGATACACAGTCCAGACATTTAAATTTTCACAGATTTCTCATTGATAGAACTTGACTCGCTTTCCTCTGTGAATGTCTTTTGAATGTTTTGCCCTAGAATATTTATTACTATATACCGCAAATAAGTTTAACACTAAATTTCTAAAATGACCACACTCACTAACCACAGGCAACGACTTGGACTCGATACGAGCTTTGTTCAGTGAGAAGGAGAAAGAGCTGAGTTTGGCAGTGGCAAAAGTGGAGGCGCTCACTCGACAACTGGAGGAGTTAAAGCGAGACCGACGCTGTCCCATAAACTTACTTACAACTGGCAACAACAATGGCAGCGCGCAACCGCTGCCGCCACAGGCATCCAGAGAACTTGAGAAGCTGCGCCGCGAACTGGTGGTGAGTTGAAAAGGCAAATGTGTGCACATATATATATTTTTTTAAATTTTTCTTATGAACAATTTTATTTACAGTATCGCAATCAACTGTCACTGCAACAGGACGCGCGCTTACATCTACAACGGGAAGCGCTACAACAACGACAGGCTGAGTTGCGCTCTGTCGATCAGCGTATTTACGAGCTGCAAACGCGGCTGCAACGCAAGAAGGCGACGAATATACAAAATAATGCACAAAATCAAAATCAACTACATGCACAACAGCAGCAACAACAACAACAACAGCAGCAGCAGCAACAGCAGCAACAACAACAGCAGCAGCAACAACAACATCAACAACAACCAACTGCGTCGCAGCAGCAGTCGCACCAACCGCCGACGCATGCGTACAGCAACAACAACAACAGCCCTAACGCCAACCTTGCCTACAATCAACCGCAGAGTGGCCAGCATCACAAACAGGGAGGCGTGGCAGCGCTGAAACAACAACTGCTGCAGAAACAAGCCAACAGTATTCTCTCTGCGGCACAGCAACAACAAAACTCCAGCAAATTTGGAAATATCATTAACCGAGAACCAAATCGGAGCATACCACGCGGCAATGTAGCCGCTGTCGAGCCATACATACATACGCCGCATAAGACCTCCGTGGGTCCTGGTGGTGCCTACTTGGGCGCGGGCAATATACTGAAACATGCCGCTGCAACTGCGAACACCAATCAACAGAACCAGCTGATACAGGATCTGACGCATATGAAACACAATATCACCTCGGCAACGCACAGTCCGCAAGGTGGCGCGCCGCACAACGTTACACAGGCTGCCAACGCACAGTCGTTCTTCAGCAGCGGCGAAAGTGACGAATCGAAGTTGGCGAAGAAAATGTTGACTGCGTCATTAGCTGTGACCAAAGCAGCGGAGCCATCAAAACCTGTAGAGGTGGACACGTCAATGCACATCTACGCCGAAGTGGGACCGAAGAAGAGGGACCTTAAGAAAGCAGCAGAAGCCGCAAAAGCTGCAGAGGCGGCAGCGCGTACAGCAGAGGCGGCAGCGATTGCTTCTACTACATCGAATGGTGGAGTAACCACCACAGGCAGCGCGAGTTCTACCGCAACAGGCAGCAAAATACCGAAAAGTATCAGTTCCTCCAACTCAGCGACTGCGATGATCAGCAAAATCAATAACACAGCAGTTGCGACAAAGGAGCGGATTGATCTGGAGCGGCGGTGTGAAGGCGCAGCGAGTGAGCCGCTGGCGGAAAAATACAGTCTACAACAGCAACAACAACAACTCACAGTGCATAGCATGCCATTGGGTGCGGCTAATAAGTCGCTTGCTACCGCGGTAGCGCATACGAGTACGTCAGCGCCTACAACAACAACGAGCTCGCCAAATGGTGACCTCAAACCGAAGCCATTGCAATCACACACATCTAGCGGCTTGGCAATACCGCCACGCAAGCCCATCAGCAGCGTAGCACCCACTTCTGTAACGAGCTCGATACCGAAAATGATCACCTACAGTCCAAAGGTGAATCGAGTAGCGCCGAATGTCGTGGCAGCTGCAACGACTGTAGCGTCGGCGCAGGCCAACTCCGCTTACCCCGATCGACCTGCCTTGCCACCGAAACCGAGCAAAATGTCGCCCACAGAACATACAAGCGAGCACAGTGCAACAACTCAGGCAGCGACAACAACAACCGCATCAACGTCAATGTTAAAAAAGCCCGCCGTACATGCTGCCTCGGGCCTAAACTCAGCCGCGTCAAATGATATGCAACAGGCAACGCAGGGTCTGCAGACGCTCAACATTAACGACAATCTACCGATCAAAGCGAAACCGCTGACCATACGCAAGCAGCCTATGTGCGAACAGCCGCGTCTGAAGCTGAGTAACAATGTTCCTAAGCTGCCGCTACAAGCTGCGCGTAAGATGGACATGCCCGCTGCGACGCCTTCTTTCCTCTACCCAGCAGACGGTAGTCAACGAGGTACAGCGAGCAACAAAGACAGTGCTGAAAATGTTAGTAACAACAACAATAATCCAAATCGCCCAACGACAGCAGGCAGCTCGTCATCATCTTCGACTGCCTCATCACCAGAACAGCCGCCGCAGTACTCGCCACCACAAGTGCCGTCGGCTTCAACTGCTCACACAATACAGACGCAGCATTCGCCCAACAGCAATTCTCAATCGAGCTCCAGCATGGATGAGCTCGATAAGATAGAGCGACACAGCGACGCTGCAGTGAGCGCTACTGAATCAGCCAACGATGCGAGCGGTATGAAGCGGCGTTCCGCTTCCACCGGTAATGCGCCCACTGCATCTGCGCTTTCGTCCGCTTCAAATGCGAATGGCAAGCCAAAGTTGGCGCGTCGTGTAAGCTTTGATCCGCTTGCTCTACTGCTGGATGCAAGTCTGGAAGGTGAACTGGAGTTGGTGAAGAAAACCGCAATGCAAGTAGCGAATCCTAGCGCGGCTAACGACGAGGGCATAACCGCACTGCACAACGCCATCTGTGCTGGTCATTTCGATATTGTCAAGTGAGTGCAAAAGAATCGCAACTCTTCACCATCGAAAAATATATGCCCTCTCTCTCTCTCTCTCTCTCTGTTTATAGATTTCTTGTGGAATTTGGCTGTGATGTCAATGCTCAGGACTCCGATGGCTGGACGCCACTCCATTGCGCAGCAAGTTGCAATAATTTATCGATGGTAAAGTTCTTAGTCGAAAATGGCGCTTGTCTCTTTGCCTCGACGCTGTCAGACCACGAAACACCAGCGGAAAAGTGTGAAGAAGATGAAGAGGGTTTCGACGGCTGTTCGGAGTATTTATACAGTAAGTAGTGTGGACTCTAGAGCCTTACGCCAACGCTGTTCATTAACATCTTTATTTTTCTTTTTCTCTCTCTCTCTCTCAGGTATTCAAGAGAAACTCGGTATACTTCATAATGGCGAAGTGTATGCAGTCTTCTCGTATGATGCTCAGAACAGCGACGAACTAACATTCCAAGTCAACGAACGTTTGGTTATCCTGCGCAAGGGTGACGATGCGGAGAGTGAATGGTGGTGGGCGAAGAATGCGAATGACGAGGAAGGCTACGTGCCCAGAAATCTGTTGGGGGTGAGCATAAAATATATTTTTCAATTAAAAATAAATTTGTTGTAAGAACGTTGCACAAAGTGAGAGAGAATCAAAGGAGAGAAATTTCCCAGTAAAAGCGAAATTAAAAAAAAAATAAGATATTGTAGTTGCCACTTGTTTCAAGTCAAATATATATTAAAAAATTCAATAAATTTTTATAAAAAAATTTTTTTTTCTGAAGAAGTCAACAAAATTTTTTTTCCAAGGGTTACCATCTGTTTAAACAATTTAAGATAAAATATGTAGAGTATATATTATAGGTATTTTTATCTAACAGTGTTAATAAAATCTTGCAGAAGGATCAAATTAAGCAGTGAAAGAGAAATTTTCTAAAATTTAAATATTGTAGATGCCACCTGTTTCAAATTTTTCAGAAAAAAAATATATAACAACCTTTACCAAAATTTTTGATAAAAGAATACTACGCGTAGCAGAGCGAAGAAAGCAGAAAAAATATATTTGCAAAGGTTGCCACGTATTTTTAATTACTAAATGAAAAATAATTATAGAATTTATATATTTTTATACAATAAAAAATTAACAGAGAAAATACTTTTACGACTTACTTAAGAATTATATATTAAGAAAACTGAAAGGTTTAATAGCTACGACAATCTGGTTTTAAAAAAATTGCAACATACAATTTTCTTAAGCTTTTCATCCTCCATTTCAAAATTTTTGAGATGAAAATATGCAATTGATTTTGTAAATTAACATAGCTTGTTTCCCAAATAGTTTGGCTTGTATTAAAAAGCTACATCGCAAAACTTTTCACTCGTTCATATATACTCGCCAAAAGCCCGCGCGCACACGAAGAAAGTGCTTTAAAAATGTTCTCGACAATGAACATTCCTTTCAAGCGCTCTAAAAACACAGTATTTAAACATAAAATTAAAAATGTTGATGAAAAAATACTACAAAAACATAGGTTTAGTAGGACAACAAATAGTGGGTTTGGTAAGGGTTGCCAACTGTTTAAAAATACTTGTAAAAAAAATTATAATATTTATATTATTTCTATACAACTTAAGTGGTTGATAAAAGCTTATTAAAAAAAAAAAACAATTCATAAAAGTTGCCACCTATTTAAAAATTTTAAATTAAAATCAATGAAGGGGTAAATAAATATTACAACATGGCTGCCATATGGCTGAATGTTATACGAAAATAAAGCAATAAATAATACATTTTGAGAAATTATTTTAGATATAAATTTTGTTAATTAATAAATTAAAATTTTTTTTTCTAATATTTTATACAAAATTTTATAAAATTAAAAAATTAAAAAATAATTGAAATTATTTGCTTATTATTATACATATTTATATGCATTAACAATAAAATCTATAATTTTTTTTTATTTTAAAAATATTTCTCCAATAACGTGTATCTAATCAATTTCTCTCCTCTCTTCTAGCTCTATCCCAGAGTTCCACCACAGACATCTAACTTCAACGATTAGCAGTTAATACGATTTTATATATGTAAAAAGAAATCGGGACGTCTAATACAAAAACATTATATTTCCAAATACTTGTAATAGTTGGCAAGATTTAATGGAGATGAATTAGAAAGTAAGAGTTTAGTTAGGTGTACTAATCAAATAACTATAGAAATAACTACTAATAATACAAAACGAATGATGGGACGAAAAATTGTACGAAAATTTGAAAAAAAAAGTAATCAAAGTGTAGTTTTATTAAATTTAATACTTTTTTATATAAATAATAAATACTTATTTTCAATTTTTTTTTTAACTTTTATTAAATTGTATTTTTTTTAATTTTTTTTAATTAAGACGAAAAAAGTGTCTATAGAATGTGCAACATTAAAATATTTAAGCTTACTGTGTGGAGTTTTTCTAAATACGATGTACATATTTATTGTAGTTTGTATATCGATATATATCTACAAATATAAGTGTATATTTCTATGAATAAACATTATAAGCAAAATATTTGAAAACTAAAAATTGAACAAAATATTACGATTAATATATATTATTATATTATGTAATTACAATAATAAATATATTGATTAAGCCTACTGAGTAAACTACTTCTAACTAATAAATTGTTAAAGCTTACAATAAAGATATATACATATATTATAAACAGAAGCACACAAAACAAATATTTATTCATTTATTTATTTAATTATTTATTTACTTTCTACTTGGCATGCGCTAGCTGCAGCAATTATTTGCAAAAGCTGATTTCGAGTATGCCAGTAGTACCCATACTTATAGAAGTGACTTGCCTGGTACTTTTCGCAATCTGTTTCTCCATGCTAACTATGACTGAATTTTCCCTTCTTTTTTTATGATGCAACACTGCTTTATTCATACACCTGCCGCGCCTAGCCTTGGAGTAGCCTATAATGATTTGTCTCCGGACGCAATTTTTTAAATAATTTTCAATTATCTTACTTACTTACCTATGGTTGAACTGACGTTTTCAATATCGTATTTCAAGTCATGAAGCGAAACTGGAAGATTTATGTAACTCTTATCTTTAACTCTCCACAAAATATTGAACGGCGCTGTCGGAAGCAAACGAATGGCTCACCTTATACCTCAAACATCAATTGTGCAATGAAAACTCAGCAGCATTTTTCCTACGCTCTTTATGACAACTAAAATAAAAAAGAAAGAAAACAAATCATAAAACAACTTTAGCTACAACCGGTTTTTTTTATTAAAAAATAAATTACAAAAAAAATTTTACCCAACAAAAATGTTTATAAAAATTAGTTTTTCGCAGAAAATTTTTACCAAACTATAAGAAATAAAATTTTTGACCAAAATATTTTTTACCAACAATATTTTTGTCAGGTAATATTTAAATAATTTTTAATTTTCTCGCAACCAAGTCATAAGTGGCAACACTTTTGGTAAGGAAATTTTTTTTTAATTTTTTTTAATTTTTATACTACAGTACAGTCCTTTTAGCAATTTCAGGTCATTGTACTGTTGAGTTGTTTTTGGGGTTTTCTGGCACTGTTTCAAGCCATATAATTTGGGAATATGGGAAAAAAATACAACAACAGTTTTGGACGGTAGAAGTTATGGCTGCTATTTCGGAAACCACCACGTTCCCTTATTAGACTTCTTTTTGCATTTATATTAAAAAAAATTTTAATTTTTTCACTCCAATGATTTTCGACATTTATTCGAAAAAAGAACAGGCTTTATTGGTAATTATTTTCCAGTTCATTTTAATTCATTAATTAATTAATTTTCACCATTTATTTTGTTACTGAAAATTTCTCAACATTCAAATTTTTATTAAAAAAAGGTTTCTATTTTTATTACAAAATTTTTACCATCTGAATTTTTTTTTTAAATTTTATTTAATTCATTACTAACAAATTGAAAAAAGAAACAAGAAAGATTTTACCGAAAAAAATTGTCTTACCAATTTTTATTAAAAATGTGAACAGTTATAAATTTCATTAAAAAATTTTCATCATTAAAATATTTTTTCAAAAATTTTTACAATTTTAATTTTTACTGAAAAATTTGTGCCATTTGAATTTTTATTAAAAACTATTTACCTTCAAAATTATTAAAGTTTGTATACTATTTGTTATTTTTTTTAAACTTTGTTACCGTCCAAAATATTTACCATTTAATTCTTATCAAAAAAAAATTAATTATACCATCAAAGATTTTCACCACAAAAATCGAGACAGAAATAACTCGTGAAGAACTTTTACTCTTAAAATTCATCGTACGAAATTTTCTATTTTAAGTAAATTTTAAATGGCAACCCTATTTGTTAAAAATGTTTCTCGTAAAATTCTTTTTTTTTAATAATTGAAATATCAATAATTTTTAGCAATTTAATGTGTTGCCATCCGAATGGTTTCTCATAGCAGAAAAATATTTTTTTTGCTCCGACACTTTTTAGATATTGTTGGGCACGAAATTTTCTTCAGCAACATTTTGCGCTTTTGGCCTTTTATTTTAGAAGAATTTCATCAAAATTTTGAACAGGAAATTTATTAAGACATTTTTTGATGATTTAACTTTTTCTTCTCGTAATTTTGAACTTCTTTTCCTCGATTATTATTTAGCAATAATTTCGAAGCGTTTTTTTTTTAATTTTTTTGTTTGTAATAATTTTGACAATTACTTGAAATTTTTTGAAAAGTTTCGTTAATATTTTTTTAATTTTAAATTAAAGTAAAATGCATTTCAGTTAAATTTTTATTTTACAATTTATATTTGTTTTTTTTTTCATACGTGACAATTGCATATTCAAAATTATAAATAAATGTATTACCCGTTATCTGTGTATACCTGTTATAATTAAGTTAGCTTGCGATATTTTAGAATTTGGCGGCGTTTTTGCGTATTGTTGTTATCTATTTACTCATTTTATAGTAGCGAAAGCCAGATAACTTGTACACGTGATCAATAAGCAGTCAAGTTCAAATATGTACATGTGTAAATAGTAATCGAAAAGTTTCGATGATAATCGTACACTTTTTTATCGGTCTTCTGAAGACTGTTAATTTTTTAATAAAAAGATGGAATATTTTATAAAACAACTGTTCCATAACTACTAAGGCAGCTGAGTGTGCAAATTATAAAAAGCTTAACTAATAGGCTGGATGTACATACTTATATTTAAGCAAGACTAGATATGAGCTGATTTTCAAATATGACCTTACCTTAAAACCACAAATTTGCCTATTTAATGTGATTGTTTTTATAAGAAATTCCCAAGTGCAAGAAAAGTCCAACTAACATTATGCCATTACCCAAGTAACAGCCGATTCTTGTAAATATACACGTGTATGATGTGCTTATATACATAAATGTACATATGTTACATAAATTGACTACATATAAATTTGTAAGTTTCATTTCACAAATTCATTCCCACTTTCATTTCAAAACTTAATATTTCAAAAAAAAAAGAAAAAGAATTCCATAAAAATCAAAACTCAAAACTAACAAACAACAGCAACAAACAGCAGATTTTCATGCATCGATATAAGAAGTATACTAAAATTAATTATAAAAATTTGCAAACTTATAAAAAGTAAAAACCAATAAAATCACTTATATAATTACAATGTTCGCATAACTAAAGTGTCTTTCATTTGGCTTTTTGGGTAATTAATTATCAAAGAAAGTTTATTGCATGAGACATTTTTAAATGCATCTCAGATTTTTAATTAATTAGCTTTTAAAAATTTAAATATATTGTTGTTATTTTTACTTTTTTACTTTTTTTTTTATAATATTAATTTCTGTTCAATTCATCCAAATTTCTATAAAGAAAAACATTTTTATATATTTTTTCTTCATATAATATTTCGTATTGCAGAAATTGGTGCGCCTAAATATAGGCAACATAATTCACGAATCACTGGCAGTCAGTAGCAGTGACAGTATTTGCTAGACGTAAAGTACTCGCGAATACTTCTTGTACACTTCTGTATGCCTGGTATAAGTTGGGTAACTAAAAATCATGCTAAAAATCTATCAAACCTACCCAACCGCTAGTGAGTAAAATGGTTCCAGGGTGTTTCCATAGTAATGTAGTTTTCAAGAAGAAATTAAATGCATGAAAATTAATTTAAATAAAAAATTTAGCTAAGTCTTCTAACTGCAATGAAATGAAAGCGGCTCATAAAAACCATCAGCCGTTCGAAGGCAGCTTGGTATAAGCTCCATTTGTTGGAAAAAACATCAACACGCAAAACCACAATTTGTAGGAGGAGCTCGGCAGAAAATCGCACCAATTATATATATGCAAGGGTTTGCCCTTTTGTTTTTTAAAAATGATTTCCGTAAAGCGACAGTCGAATTAAATCCTTTCGACCACTTTTCGCAGCGATTGAGGCCGTGTACCTTCAGTAATAAGCTTCAATGGGTTTCCCTATTGAGTGCAAGATTATCGCCGGCTTAATTTTTGAATAAACTTTGAGCCAATGATTTTCTTAGGCCATTGAGCACACAACCAGTGACGCTTTGAAGATGCAAAGGCTTCTCAACCATAACGTCTGGATTATCATCATGAGACAATTTTTTTTACTAATATGCTCGTTCAATCAGAAGTGTACCTCAGCGCTGAACCAAAATATCTTGTGAAAATCGAGAACGGCGTTCATCTTGTTATGAATCCATTCACCGAACGTGTGATGCGTTTGATGATCGTTCGACTTCAATTCTTGTTTCACGAGTGGAATTTGTAGGCCCGCAAACAGATACTCCTTCACACAATTGCCCATAAAGTAGATGGGTACAGCTCCACTCGTTGTGCATAATGGCGCATGCGCATTATCCACTAGAGTAAACGTGATCGCATTACCGATTCTCCTGAGCGAACCATTATTTTGGAAATATAACGAACCGCTTGTTGCCAGACCGACAGCTACTCGCATCAAATCTCAGGTGAATAGCCCCTGCAATTAGACTTCAGCGAAACCTTAAATCGAATATACCGGAATGGCTCCAGGGTGGCATAACCTCCACAAAGTGCCAGAAGCTTGTACACAATCATTTACAGTCCAATTAAACCGAGGTTTATTTACAGATAATTCACCTACTTTACCTGCGCTGGATTCTTTTATCAAAGAAGTTGCTCATCTTAGAAATATATTGTAAAATTAGAATAATAAATAAATAAAATTCTATTTAATTCATAATTTATCATAAAATTTTTTTATTATTAAATTAATAGCATTCTAATCTTTCCCTAGAGGTCTCTTGTTCCTAGCCGAAGATTAGAACTTATTGATATTGTAAATCACTTATGTACAAACTGTGATGAAATAAGAAAGTATTTTTATATGCTAACTTGAGCAAGGGCGGGAATGACTTGCAAAAATTACAAAAACGTAAGAAACAAGGTTGTTATCTCTTGATCAATACTTGCTGTTGATTAATATACCCTCAATGACTAAGCAGTTAAGTCATAGTCAAGAACTTTTCCATATCGCAGATTAAAAAAATACGTGAGTGCGGAAGTACTTCGGATTTGTTTCTAATTGATTCCGTCTGTTATGATTGGAAAGCATATTTATATATTGGGCTAGTAAAAGGTAATTCGTTATTAAATTGAGGGCTTCATTTACTATGGCTAGAATAATGAGATTTCACTGGAAGGTATTGTCATTGTACTTCTCTCATAAAAACCCCTTTCCCTGTTAGCATGAAATTGGCAGAATCGAATTTTGCTGGCTTCCCTATAGACCAATTCCACACCAAGCAAATCATTCGCTATTCTTATTTGTGCCATGCGACTTGATGAATTTTCAGCATTTCTATTAAATTTTTGGATTTCGTTAACTTTTTGCACATTAAAAATTATTTATTTTATTTTGTCTTGTTTTGTTGCATTTATTTTAATTTAATTTAATTTTTAGTTTATTTCTCATTATTTCATTTTATTTTATTTTAGTTTATTATGTTTCTTTATTTTGTCTTTTTTTTAATATTTTATTTTAATTAGTATGCAAACTCATATTATTTTATTTTATTTTTATCTATTATTTTATTATAGTTTATTTTATCTTAATTTATTTTATTATATTTTTTATTTAAAAAAAAATTTATTATATTCATTTACTCAACTTTTTTTTTATTTTATTATATTTATTTTAATCAAATTTATTTTATTTTTAATTATTTTATTTTACTTTGGGTTTTTATCATTATTATTGTTTTATATTTTTATGTTTTATTTTAATTTATGTTAAATTATTATATTTTTGGTTATGTTTTTATTATTTTTTCCATATTATTTTATTTTAGTTTATTTTATCTTAATTTATTTAATGTTATTATACTTTATACTTTTTTATTATTGTTTTCTTTTTTTTATTTTAATTGAATTTATTTTATTTAATATTGCTTGTTTTGTTTTGATGTATTTATTTAATTTATTATTATTATTTTATTATTATTTTATTTTCTCTTATATTATTTTAGTCTAATATTTTTTATTTGCCTTTTTTTCTTGTTATTATATTTTATAATTTTTTTATTTATTTTATGATATTTTATTATGTTTTATTTTTATTTTCTTTTTTTATTTCAGATTTTATTATATTTTATATTTTTTGTTATATTATTTAAGATTTTTTTAACTTTATTTTATTTTAGTTTATTTTATCTTAATTTATTTTATGTTATTATATTTTTTGTTATATTATTATATTTGATTTATTTTTAATTTTTTTTTATTTTATTATATTTTTTTTTATTTAATCAAATTTATCTTATTTTATTTAATTTTAATTTATTAATTTCTTTTATTTCATTTTATATTATTTTATTTTATTTTAGCTAATTATTTTTTTATTTTATTTTAATACGTTTTATTTTATTATATATTTTTTTATTTAATCAAATCTATTTTATTTTATTTTATTTTATTCAATTTTTGTTAATTTTAATTTAATTTATTTCATTTTATATTATTTTATTTTATTTTAGCTAATTATTTTTTTATTTTATTTATTTTTTATTTTATTTTAATTCGTTTTATTTTATTATATTTCTTTTATTTAATCAAATTTATTTAATTTTATTTAATTTTAATTTATTTTATTTCTTTTATTTCATTTTATATTATTTTATTTTATTTCAGCTAATTATTTTTTTATTTTATTTATTTTTTATTTTATTTTAATTCGTTTTATTTTATTATATTTTTTGTTTTTTTATTATTATTTATTTGTTTGTTATTTTTTTTTTTTATTTTGTTACATATATTTTAATCAAATAATTTTAATTTACTTTATTTTTTTTTGATTTGTTTTCTTTTGTTTAATTTTTTTTATATAATTTTTATTTATTTTATTCAATTTTATTATTATTACTTTTTGTTTTTAAATTTTGTTTGTTTTTTGATTTTACTTCTTTTACGGTAATCCCAGGAATGGAAATATTGAGCAGCTGATACCCCCTCATTGATGTGAAAAAGATAGCGCGCAGTCCCATATCTGCGTACTTAGCATTTGAGGAGATAAGCAAGTGGCAAAGTAATTAAAAAAATTAAAACAACAACACACTACAAATATATACTCAAAATTTTAGTTTATCAAATTGTTGATTACAAATTAACAAAACTTTCGACCTTAGCAGATGCAACCAAGTAAATAGAAATTTCAGTTTCGAAAGTGAACTGCCTGAGTTTGGTGGCCAAAAAAAAAAGGTGAAGAACGTGGTATAAAGTGAAAAAGTATATTTCAAAATTTGTTTGAGAGACGCATGCTTTCTTTGGAAAAATGGTAAATAATAGAAATTTGTGATTAAAAGAGTAAAAAACAGAAAAGTGTAAAAAAGTGTTTTAAAAATTATTTGTAGAAGAGGCTCAATTATGAAAGTCCAACAGTAATGAAAACAGAAGCAAACGTTTTAGCCTGTTTTCCCCAAAAACTCAACAGAAAACAAAATGTATCGGATTATAATTGTGTTGTTTTACACAGGTTTTTGAAAGACGTGTCTTTTGTAAAGTACAAACCAAGGAGGAGCATGAACATGATTTGCAGTTTTTCGTTTTTGTCATAGATATCGGCGTCAATATATTTATTATTGTTTATACGTGTAGATAAGGAGTCCTATGAAACAAACGAGTCGCCCGGTATAAATTGTTATCACTAACAGAAGCCAATTTACACACTGCATCGGTTTAACTTCGTTGTCTTACGCCATACCTCATTTAAGAATAAGCTTCAATATTACTTTGTTAGTTTGTATAATATTAGAAAATTTCCAATATCTGTCAACGGATTGGAAAGTGCATAGATAATGTCATCATTTCTTCCTGACAACTACGCCAGTAAGAATCCACATGAAGACAGAGCCCAGTCAAGACCCCCAATAAGCTCAAAAATACTGATCTAGGAAATGTAGAAGCTTTCCATACCTTTTAGGGTTTACTTAAGGCCTGTAAAGACACAATCACGCATGGTGAGATGCGACACCAGCGCTCATTTAGTTAATACTTTACTTACCTTCCAAGAGTCAGGGCACAGCAGTATTCTTGACAGAAGAGTGCGCCCATATGTACAAGCTCATTAGCATTGTAGTTCTCAGTAATTCGAAGGCAAATATTCCTTACAATTTTGAAGTTCACCAGGAGTAAGAAAAAGGTCGTAATAACCGATCTGCTATCTAAGTAAACGTCTCTCAGTATTTCCACGGCTTCCTTGCAAATGGTCTTAAAGCCTCAACCCTCTGCCGTTCTGGTTCTTGGAAGAAGACTCCACCATCAGTCTTTCACGTCGAGTTTTAGCCCATCCATACCATAAATCGACTAATTGCACCATTCAGTAACTATTTTCAAAACATGTCATCTTTTTCGATTAAAACTTTTTAATGATTTGAAAAATAAATGATGGCCATTTAATCGAATCTCTCATCCCGTAGACACCGCTTACATGTTTATAGCCGAGTTAACAACAGCCTTCTTATTGCTTCTTTTCGCTGTTTGGCGGTAATTGGAAATGCCAAGTACATCCAGGTCCTTCCCCACCTGACCAGTCGTAGAGGTCTTCCTCTTCCTCTGTTTCTGACTTCCAACGGAAACTTATCAGATGTTGTTCATGCCTCCGCACATTAAGCAGGAGCAACATGTTGAGTTTGGTCTCTGTGTGTCAAGAGAGAAATTTAATGCTGATTCCAACATAGACGAACTACAAATCAATAAATATTAGCAACAGATATGAAGTCTAAGAATTTTGTCGATTCACTCAACGATGCTTGGTTGATCGGTGAAGTAATTTTTCGACACTGAGCGTTGTCTTGCCTTTTGTCTTGCAGGAGCATGGTTGCGAAGCATTCTCCGATCATTCGATACTCTCTTTATGGTACACTTTTCTAACAATGTGTACTCCTATGTGGATATGAAAACAGAGACAAAAATTTATTATTGCAATTATTCAATAACAACAATGGCCACTTTAGCAAAAGTTATCTCATCATTTCAACACATAAGCGCAACCACATCACATTACATCATACCAACACATCACCACATCACATCGTCATTAACAACAATGACCACTTTAGCAAAAGTTATCACATCATTTTAGCACATAAGCGCAACCACAACACATTACATCATATCAACACATCACATCGTCATATCACATCACCGCATCACATCACAGAATTTTGCTTAGTTATAAATGATTGGTTTGTTAATTCAGACAATTGACCGTACCGACGAGGCTCAACTTTCTCCCACTTCTAGCCAAGTGTCTAATGATTTATAGTTTCGTACAATCTTTCACAATGTCGTACATACTTCTATTGCGTACTTGAACAACAGGCTGTGGAAGACAATTTTTCGAACAAAATTTTCTTCAGCGGCGGGGAACATTTCTCACTTGACGAAAGAGGCTCCGAGAGTCCTCAAATAATTTGAAGGAAGGTTAAACTACCACAAAAAAATTTTGCTTGGTGCACTCTTTGGTCCGGAAGTGTGAAGTGATCTTATTTTTTTCGAAACCGAAAACGGCGAGACGGTCACTGCCAATTCGAAGTATGATGGTCGTATGTTAACCGACTTTTTTTTTGCTTCAACGAGAAAATGCGCATTATTGCAAAAAAATTTTCGACGAACTTAATCTCTCGTCTCGGCGATGTCAATTAGAAATCGAGATCGTGCTTCTTTTACTGTTATACTTTTTCTTTGTGCAGCTAAGCGGAAGGCCATGTTTATGCGGATAAAACTTTAACTCTAGACCACTTGAAAGTCAACATTCATTACGTCATGGCTGGCATACTGCCCCATATCTACCAAGAAGTGGTCAGAAATAACCTCGAACGGATCGAAGATCGCGAGACGGTCATTCGAATGATAGAGTGTTTCACATGTAATTCCAGAGCTCAAACTTTTTAGCAAAAAAAAAAATTTTTTAGTTTTCTTTTAATTTTTTTATGCCGTTGATTCTCTTTTCTTTAACTAGCACACCAAAATAATTATTGGCCTACTGGCATTAGTCGTCCTAGTAGCGCAAGCTCCCACAACAAATGGCGCAAAGATTCTCGCAGTCTTCTCCTTTCCCGGAAAAAGTCACTACATGATGCATAATACGCTTATAGAAGAATTGCTGAAACATGGACATCAGGTACTTGGATTATTAATGGAAAAAAGAACGGAAAACAGAATAAGAAAGATTTTGAAACAAATTTTTTATAGGTCACCGCGATAACCGGTCTGACATTGGGGCCAGAGAAATTGGGCAGCAACTACACTGAGATACTTATCGATCCGATGTGTCGTTATTGGGAAGAACGTAAGTGAACAACAACTAAATATGAACTTAATATTTTATCATTTCCTCACATTCCTGGCCTTACCTGCAGTACCAAAACAGTTCGGTGGCGGCGATATCTACAACATAGACACTGACGTAGTAGTGTTCCTGAAGATAGTTCATTTCATGGGTGTCCTCACGACCGAACATGCGCTCAAGCAGCCAAATATACAGGCCATCATTAATGCGAAAGAGACCCAAGGCGTCTATGATCTTCTGTTGGTGGAGCAATTCGCTCAGGAGGCCTTCCTGGCTTTGGCGCATATCTACAATGTGCCGGTAATTAGCTCTGCGACTTTTGCCCAACAAACATATATGAGTCAAATGTTTGGCATTATGTCACCTTGGTCCTATGTGCCGCATGGCTTTCTGCCATACACAGAGCACATGAGCTTTTTGGAGCGCATAAAGAATACATACTATTGCCTGCGTCACGATTTGGAACGAGAATATTCGTATTATCCGCAAATGGATGAGCTTGTGCAGAAATACTTTGGACACTTGCCGAGTAAGTGTTGGGTGCTGGAAAGTGTATCATTTAGAGAAGAAAAAACATTCAAATATTTTTTTTTCTTTTTTTCCTCCCGTCAGTTAAGTTTCCCAGCATTTCCGCGATGACTCAAAATCTTTCGGCCATATTGATCAACAATCATGCACCGTTAAACTCGGCCGGTCCACTAAGCGATAGCTTCATTAATGTGGGCGGCATGCATATAAAGCCACCCAAGCCACTGCCTTCAGATATAAAGAAGTTCTTGGACGAGGCCAAACATGGTGCTATATATTTCAGTCTCGGCAGTCAAGTACAGAGCAAGGACATGCCATTGGACAAGTTGCGAGTTTTTCTCGACGTCTTTCGCAGCCTGAAGCAGCGGGTCTTGTGGAAATTCGAAAACGACAGCATTGCGGAGTTACCGGAGAATGTTATGATCCAGCAATGGCTGCCACAAAATGACATTTTGGCACATCCTAATGTGCGCGCCTTTATCTCACACGGCGGTCTATTCGGCACACAAGAGGCTGCATACCATGCCGTGCCTATACTAGGCTTACCTTTCTATTGTGATCAGGTAAATTGAGAGGAGCTCAGTACAATTGCCTTCAGAAATTATGCTAATGCAGTACTCACTTCCTTACTCTCACTCTCACTTTGTCTCTCTCTCTTTCTCTTTCTCTTTTTCTTCCTCACTGCCTCCTCTTCAAACACAGTATTTAAACATAAAGAAGGCTCAAGACGGCGGTTATGCCATCGCATTGGACTTCCGAACCCTCACACGTGAACAGTTGAAGAATGCCCTACAGCAATTGGTCGACAACGCCACCTACCACGATAATATGCAGCGTGTATCACGCATTTTCCGTGATCGTCCCATGGGGCCACGTGAGAATGCGATGTATTGGATCGATTATGTCATACGTCATAAGGGCGCACGTCACTGGCGCACCGCTGGTCTGGATTTAAATTGGTTCCAATTCTATTTATTGGATGTCATCTCACTGATCGTCGCTGCTGTGGTTGCTGCCAGCGTCGCTGCGTATTTGTTGACGCGCTGGGTTGCGCGAAGACTACGTGGTGGTCAGACAAAACAAAAAGTTCAATAAACACTTAAATATCAGAAACCTATTTCAAACGCTATTACTAAGTATTCTTTTTTAATAAATAAATGATCGAACTGTTGCTCTGGATGTCTACTTGATTGCGATTTGACTATTGCCAGAGCACAGTTCAAGTGACGTATTATTTATCATTACAAATATCAACTTTTCATTCAGTTTTTTTTTTCTTCGTGTAATATTGAGGCTTACGAGGGTACTTATGATCGAATTCCTCTACAGTCCCCACCGTTCTAGGTACTTTTCACTTATCAACTATGCCCTTGATTCCTACGACCCCAAAATTGTTATCGATTTTTGACAAATTGAAAATATTAATTGTCTATTGTGCCCTTAATAATCGTAGAAAATAATATGATTGAATAGCGTAATTAAAAAATATATTTAAACAATTTACTTACCTCACAAACTCATTTTGCACATATACACACATATGTATGTGTGTTTCGTAGTAGCACTGATAGCAAACCTAGTGGCGACGCAGCCACTGACTCAATGAATTCATTAGTCTAATAGGTATGCACGAAGGTACATACTCACATACACACATTTATAAAAATTCGCAAAACTTTACATTGTTCATTGAAACAATCGCAAAAATTATATTAAAATTTCGAGCATCCGTTTTGAAATTTCAGTCTAAAATCAACAGCAAGTGCATCTGGCTGCGTCGAGTGAACGTGAAACTTTTGAAACAATCATATATTGTATATACTCGTATATTAAATAAAAGAAAAAATTAAAATTAATATAAACAATTAGGGAAATAATGGTAAGTTGTGCCTTTAAAATTAACTTTTTTTATTGCAAATAATGCAAAAGAAGTGAGCGTTTTAGAATACAACCAAGCTGAAGTGTTGACGAAACCTCAGAAAGCCCAGAATAAAAAAGAGAAAATATTTCAAATAGAGTAGAATAGAATAAAATCAAATAAATTAAAATATATTAAAACAAAAACAAATAAAATCAAATCAAAAAAAAACTTAAAATTAAATAAAATAAAATATAATATAATTAAATTAAATTAAATTCATAAAATAAAATAATATATTAAAAACAATATATAATAAGTAGCTGATAATAAAATAAAAAAAATCAAATCAAATAAAACAAAATAAAATAAAATAAAATAAAATAAAATAAAATAAAATAATATATAAAAAAATTAAATTAAATTAAATAAAATAAAATAAAGTAAAATGAAATAAAATAAAATGCAGTGGAACAAAATAAAAATTTATACATATTATAAAATAAATAATAGAATTAAATTAAATTGATTTATTTGAGTTAAATTAAATTAAATTAAATAGAAGGAATTATTTTAATAGAACGAAATGAAATATAATACAATAAAATAACATAAAAAATGAAATAAAATGAAATAATATGAAATGAAGTGAAATAAAATAAAACTAAGAAATTAAAATAAAATTATTATAGTTTAAATTAAATTGAATTTCATAAATTTATTTAAAAAAAAAATTTATAAAACAAAATACTACTATAACGTGAAATAATAAAATAAGACAGCATTAGCAAAATAAATTAAAGTAATTTCAGACGAAATTAAATTAAATAATATAAAATGGAAAGAAACCAAACCAGATTAGAGCAAACAAAGTTCATTTATACCATTTCACAGTCAAGGTGCTGACCTTGACAAAGCCAGTTCGAACAAGTGGCTGCCAATAATCGCTATGCACATACATATTTACAAAAGTCTATACTATTGGTGAGTACTCTGATAGACTTTGTGCATATCAGCTTTCATACAAATTCTCTTGTATAAAAATTACGCTTTTCTGCAAGAAGTAAATTAAAAAATTTGTATAAAAAAATAATAAAAATATCTAAGACAGGCTCTTTTTACTAGGCAGAAACACGTTGCGGACTGGTTGACGTTTCATACCGAGTGGTGACTGTAGTTTGAAGAATTATTATTTTTAGTAAAATATCTGTAAGCCTAGCCGGGATTCGAAGGCATGGCACTCCGCAGAGTTAAAAGTACTGCCAACCGCTCGCATGCTTAAAATGAAAAGCCTTCAACCTTACTCAAATGCAAATGAGATTATTAATTCCATTATCAATAAGTCTCGGTATATTTTCATATATATTTATATATATATATATATTTAATTAACTAATAACATTTGAATTTGTCAAAGTAACTGACCTCAGACGATGCAAATGTTTGATTCGCAAACCAGTTGATGTAGTTTTATTTAAATGTGTATGTAAATGTGTTTGTGCACCTCAGCTATAGATAGTGGAAATATAAGCATATGTATGTAAATGTATTTATTAAATAATATTATACGTATATTTAATAAAAAAGGAAAGCTGTATCTGTCTATGGTTATGAAAATAAATAAATAACATACGATTTTTAAAATATCTGCGTAATTTATTGATTTAATTAGTAGAATTATTATTTCTTATTTAATTTTAGTAAATTTATTTTTTTTTAATATTTTTTTTCGTATTTTATTTTAATATTTTTGCCTATTTTTTCATTTTTTTTATTTTATAATTGTTTTATTTTTACTACATTTATATATTATTTATTTATTAATATTTCATTGTTATTTTCGTGCTAATATATTTTATTATTTTCATTTTATTTTAATTTATGTTCGTTCATATTTGGTTTTGTTTTTATTTTTCATTTTATTTTTTCAATTAATTTGTTATTTTAATATATTTCAATATTTATTTTCACTTTATAATTATATGCTTTATATTTTACGCTGACTTAAAATTAAATGATTAAATTAAAATTAATTCAATAAATTTTTTTTTTAATTTTCACTCAACTAAAATTTTTTGTTGTACTCTAAATGGTTCTTATAACTTTTTTTACTTCATAATTATTTTTTTTTAATTTTACTTTTATTTTAATTTTATTTGGTTTTATTTTATTTCAGGTTTTTATTGATATTTAATTATCATTTTGTTACTATTATGTTTTTTTTCTATTTTAAATTGTCTTTGCCGAAATTTTTATTTTATTTTTACTTTATAATTTTTTGTTTGTTTTAGTTTCGTAATTACTTTTATTTGATTATTATTACTTTTTATTTGCTAAGTTATTTTCACTAATATATATATTTTATGGTTATTTGATTTAAATTTTTTTACTTTAATCCTTATTATTTTTATTTATATTATTTTATTTATTTTTAACAAAATTTTGTTTTGTATTATATATTTATTTTGTTTCACTTAATTTTATTTTTTTTTTATTTTTTTAGATTCTTTTTTTATCATTGCATATTTTTTTATTGAAGTTGAAATTAATTTTAATTTACCTATTATCTTATGTTAATTTTTTTTATTTTCATATTTTTATTTAATATTTTTTTTTTTAATTTTTTCGTTAAATTTGTTTTTATTCTCTAATTTTTATTAATTTTTCCCCTTTTTTTAAAATTTTTTATATTTTTTTGTTTTTTAATCATTGCTGATTTTATTTTATTTTTAACAAATTTTTTTTTTTGTTAATGTTTTTGTATTATATATACGTATATATATATATTTTATATATATTTGTTATTTTATATTTTTTGGTTTCATTTAATTTTAATTTTTTTTTTATTTTACTAGATTCTTATTTTGTTATCATTGCATATTTCTCTGTTGAAGTTGAAATTTATTTTAATTTATCTATTATTTTATGTTGATTTTTTTTATATTCTCATTTTTGTTTAATTTTTTTTTTCAATTTTTTCGTTAAATTTTTTTATTCTTTAATTTTTATTAATTTTTCAATTTTTTTTTTCTAATATTTTTTATTTTTCTTATTTTGTTTTTTAATTATTGCTTATTTTATTTTATTATATATTTATTTGTTATTATATATATATTTGTTATTTTATATTTTTTGGTTTCATTTAATTTTAATTTTTTTTTTATTTTACTAGATTCTTATTTTGTTATCATTGCATATATCTCTGTTGAAGTTGAAATTTATTTTAATTTATCTATTATTTTATGTTGAATTTTTTATATTCTAATTTTTGTTTAATATTTTTTTTTAAATTTTTTCGTTAAATTTGTTTTTATTTTCTAATTTTTATTAATTTTTTCTTTTTTTTGCTAATATTTTTTATATTTCTTATTTTTTTTTAATAATTGCTTATTTTATTTTATTTTATTTTATTATTCTCACAGCATTTTAAATCCCTATGCAGCTTACTACTACTAACAGCGCTGCTGTCTATTAGAATGTCATTCATAAATGGCGCCAAAATTCTAGCGGTTTATGTATACCCGAGCAAAAGTCATTTTATGATGCATCGCGTACTGATAAGCGAGTTGGTGAGACATGGGCATGAGGTGAGTAGAGAAATATTTCTTTCTTCATTTAATTGAGCTTACAAAATTTGCACACTGATTTACATTATATACATGCATTTATATATATTTATTTGCGTTTGTAATAGGTAACCATGATAACGGCTTATACACTAGCGCCACTCAGTCTGGGCAGCAATTACACAGAAATACTTATCGATCCAATTTACGATTACCGCACGGACGGTGAGCCATCGAGTCTTGAGTGCTATAAATATTACTTATATAATTTAAATCAGAATACTATAAATACCCTTACATGTATTTTCCTTTTAGTGCACCCCACCACCGATAGCCCAACTACAGTATTTGATATGTCCACTGCGGATGTGTCGTCTTTTATGAATATTATGAGAGCGATTTGCATGGGCAGCACAGAGCATGCACTGAAGCAACCCAAAGTCCAGGCCATAATTAATGCCAACCACACGGAGGGTGTTTATGATCTGCTGCTGGTAGAGCAATTCTATCAGGACGCATTCCTCGCATTGGCGCATATCTACAATGTGCCGGTGGTTAGCACAGCGACTTTCGCCAAGGAACATTATATGAGTCAAATGGTGGGTCTGATAACTCCATGGTCTTATGTGCCACACGGTTCACTGCCGTTCACGGATCACATGAGTTTCTGGGAACGGGTACAAAACGTCTACAATTTAATTTTAACCGACTACAGTCGCGAATTTAAATATTTTCCCATGGTGGATGCGTTGATACGGAAATATTTTGGACATTTGCCTAGTGAGTCATTGAGTATTTAGTAATTTAGTGAGAAAGAACTGTGTTATTAAATTTTTTGCCATGATTGGTGGATAAGAAAAATGATTTAATTTCAAATAAACAAGTTTTTTTTGTGGCAATCTTTTTAAGAAAAATGAAAAGTTATTTTTAAAAAATTAAAATGTATTATACTCTTATACAATTTTACAGAAAAATTACAGCGCTTTATTTCTATTTCGCGGTTTGAGAATTTTTTTAAGCTTATGCATCTAACCAATCCAAGTATCTCTTTCAAATTTTTTATTAGTTTTGGATTTCATTAAGTTTTTTTTTTTTTTTGATAAGGATAAAAATGTCAAAGAAATAACATAAATAATTCAAAACATTTTTGAGAAAAATTATCGAAAAAATTAGAAATATTAGGAGACGCTTAAACTCGATATACTGAAGTAAATTATTTTGTTATTATTAAAATATTTACAACTAAACATAAATACGATATCGTGAAAACATTTAACTTGGCAAACCTAATCAAATAAATTAAGCTTATTATCACATTATTTTTTTGTACTTTTTCCCCTTATTTTACATATTTTCCTATTTCAAATTAAAAAATAGATGGCAACCCTAAAAAACTTGTGTAATACCAAAGCTAAAATAAACACAGTTAACTTGAAATATATACATTATTTTTCTCAGATTAATTTATTGCACTTTAATTTCGAAAAAGTGGCAACCCTAAACAATTATATGGCGGAGTAGAAAATTTCCCGTTACTCTTGCCTTTCTAATATTTTTCCAAAAGTATAGCTATGCCACTTCTGCGGCTTAAATAAATTCGAAATTAATTTTTTTTAAATATTTGGCAACACTACATACGTATATATTTAATTTCTTCATTTATGCAAAACGAATAAAATGTGAGAGCCATTTTTAGTGCTTTGTACTATAAATTTTATAATTTGTTTTACTTTCAAGCAGTTGGCAACTCTACTAAAAAAAATTCGAATTCAACATTCTAACAATTCATAAGAAATATTTATTTTGCTTTCAATTGAGCATAGATTATGTCTTAAAGTTGGCAAATCCACTACAGAGTTGCCACAAATATATTTTTTATTTATAATAATTCGTAAATGTAAAATGTATTTAAAAAATTGTTTTCATTTTTTTCCGTCTTTTTTATCCCTCAGTTACTTTCCCCAGCGCTTCGGCAATGGACAAGAATCTCTCCGCCATATTGATAAACAATTACACACCGTTATCAACCGCAAGTCCAACTATGGATAATATGATCAATGTTGGTGGCATGCATATATACCCACCAAAACCGCTGACCGACGAGTTGCAAACATTTCTAGATGGCGCAACGCATGGCGCAATATACTTCAGTTTGGGCAGCCAAGTTGAGAGCAAAGATATGCCCGCAGAGAAGGTACGACTTTTCCTCGATGTCTTCCAGAGCCTCAAACAGCGTGTGTTGTGGAAATTCGAAAATGAGAGCATCATTAATTTACCGGCAAATGTTATGGTCAAGAAATGGATGCCACAGAGTGATATATTGGCACACCCGAATGTGCGAGTCTTCATTACGCACGGCGGCCTATTGGGCACACAGGAGGCTGTACATTATGCGGTGCCCATGTTAGGCATGCCATTCTATTGTGATCAGGTAAGGAGCAAAAATATTTAATTTAGTTTAATAATAAATATATGTACAAGTGTACATTTTTCAATCTCCTTCCCGCCAGCACTTGAACTTGAAGAAGGCTGAATTTGGCGGCTATGCCATGACATTGGACTTTCACCAACTCACACGCGATGAGTTGAGGCTTAGTTTGCAGCAGCTGCTTCACAACAACACCTATCGTGAGAATATTAAAGGCATTTCGAAGATTTTCCACGACCGACCCATGAGTGCACGTGAGTCTGCGCTGTATTGGATAGATTATGTCATACGCCATAAGGGCGCGCGTCACTTGCGCGCCGCTGGCTTGGATTTGCGCTGGTACCAGTTCTATTTGCTGGATGTAGCTGCTCTATTTCTTTCCGCAGCAGTCTTAGCTTTGAGTGTGGCTTTTCTTTTAGCGCGTTGGCTCCTACGAAGTCTTGGTAAAAAAGCAAATAAAGAAAAAATCAATTAAAATAAAATTAGAATTTAAGGTAAACTTTTAAGTAAATAATTTAATTTAAAATAAGAAAATAAATTTTTTATATTTGTTTGTAATTAAAAAATTGTACTTTCATAATATACGGCAGAAATAAATCGAAAATTGATACTCTTTTGCATTGCACTTACATAGTCAAAGCCTAAAAATATGCAACAATTTGCAAAAAAAATTTTAAATTTGTCATTTGTTTCATGTAGAAATGTTGAGGTGTTCCTTTTAGGGTATTCATAAACCGACCTAAGGCAGTTTTTTTATATTTTAAATAGCATAACTTAACCTCCGATATGTACATCGACAACTTTTTTCACGAGATTCTCATACAGAAATAAATGGGGAAAAAAGATCCATCCTCCACTGCTCTCACCAAATATGAGTCCGAGAATACCAGAACACTGAGCTTCCAAGCTATCTTGGAAGACGCCGAGAGGCCGCTCAAATCTTCGGTGGCAATGCAATTTCGGAAGTCAAGATGCCATCAGATCTCTAAAATATAACAGGACCATATCAAAAGTGGCTATAAAATGTAGAAGCGATGAGAACAAACACTCGATTTCACAACTATACAGCACTTCGAAAATCTATTGCTACCTTAATCTTTTACTGAAGGGTAATATATAGTAAGCAAAGAGGAGACTTGTGCAAATCCTACATAACAATATTTACTCGCCTGCCCACGGCACAACTCAACACAAGTGTACTAGTTTTTCAATTAATGACAAAGCTCTTGATATAGTGAATAACCTAAGTTACGAAAATCGCTGCTCTCGTGCTCAATACCAGAGATTGCGTGCTAAGCCAAATAGAAGAGACACATATAACACACTTATTTAAAAGAAGCATCTAAGGCAGGCTGTCGGCAGGCATTCGGCTGGCTTAATACTGGCAGCTGACGAATACCTTCGACTTTAAATTGCTCTATAGATTATTTACAGACTGCCTGTCGGACAAGCAACAGCGGGTGCTGCACGTTGCTTTCGTTAAAATTGCTTTAATAAATTTATGAAAAAATTGTGAATAAAATTTATTACCAAAAAGAAAATAATAACAACAAAAGTGAACAAGTGTTAACTAAAATTATGGAAAAAATGGTAAATATAAAAATTTCAAAAGAAAACACACAAAAAATATGGTACCGTAAATAAAAGTTATAAACAAATACTACATAAATATTAAAAAAAAAATTTTTAGAAAAACAATTCAAAAAAACTTTAAAAAAAAAACTTTAAAAAAAAACTTTTGAAAAAAAAAAATTATTAAAAAAATTCTTTTGAAATTTTTTTGCAAATAATTTTTACAAAAAAGTATAAATGCAAAAAACAAAAACAATTTTTTAAGGAAAAAAACCAAATCTTAATAAATGTCCTGTGAAAAAATAATTTTTTTTAGCAAATTAATATTAAAAAATATTGGTTTTTAAAAGCGTCAAATTCAAGAAGATTGAAAAATTTTTTTTTTATAATAAACCCGTTGTAAATAAATATAATAAAATCCTTTCAGTACAAGAATCCCGGAAAAAAGTTCATACAAATATTTCGTTCTAAATAAAAGTTATCAAAAAAAAAAAAGAAAAGAAAAAAAAGAAATAAAAAATTATATTTCGATAAAAATGAATGTTTTAAAAATATGTTAAATACAAAAGTTACGAAAAACAAGTTGCAGAAATTTTAGTGAATCAAAAACTATTTTTGGAAAAATTTGTTAATTTTATTTTTATAACAAACTGTGGTGGATAAAAATTTAATCAGATTATATTATCATTAGTACTGCATTTTTTCTTCCAAACCTTTCTTATAGATAAAAAAAAATAACTGCAAGAAACTAAAAAACTTATTTTTTATTAATAAAAATACAATAAAATCTTTAATTTGTTCGAAAATCATTAAAACCTAAATTTGATTTGAAAAATATTTTTTTTAATAATTTAATGTGTTCCTTTTAAATTAATTTTATTCAGTAAATGAAATAAAACTTTTCTTCCGCCGTTTTTTTTTCCAAAATTAAAAGCTCTATTGCGAAAAAGTGCTTACAGATATATTATTCAAAGCATTGTACTTCGCTAGTGACAACTTTCTCTCATCTTTCCGGCAATTTTCGGATCCCGGCTCGAGAAAAGGAGCCCTCTTTTGACGCTATCCATGAAGCAATCCATTTTTCCAATTCTTCGAAGGATTGAAAATGTTGACCTGCCAGGCCGTGTGCCATCGAACGGAATAGGTGGAAGTCAGAAGAGGAATACGGCGGATGGGGCAAGACTTCCCATTTCAGCGTTTCCAGGTACTTTTTGACCACTTTTGCTCGATATCCCTCGGTATTAACTCGTACGGCACCCAGTTTCCTTCTTTCTAAATCATGCCCAGGGCCTTAAGACGTTTTGAAATGGCTTGCTGACTCACTCCCAACGATTCGGCAAGCCGTTCTTGGGTTTGGCACGAATCTTCATCAAGCAATGCTTCTAATTGTTCATCTTTGAAGGTTTTTTCTCTTCCACCACCATTTTTAAAACGTCGAAACCACTGCCGACACGTTCTTTCACTCAGAGCAGCACCACCGTAAGTTTCTGAGAACATTCGATGCGCTTCAGCTGCATTTTTTTTTCGAATTGTAACAGAAAAGTAAAACTTCCCGCAAATGGCGAGAATTGGGCACATAAACGGACATTTTCGAGCGTGAATAATACGAAAACAAGAACAACTGTCACTGAAACGGCGATGACAATTCGTTAGGCACTGTCCACACTCACTTCAAAGGCATTATCATCTATGTATTTCAACCAGCCTCAGCCGGTACAGCCACCTATCGGAAAACGGCGGAAGCAAAGTTGTGAACCTAATATATTTTTGTTGTTAAAATGAACTTATAATTCGACCTATAAGCGAAACTAAGTTCGGTTGGAGCAGAACAATATGAACCCGGCCGACATTTACATGATCAATCAAAAATATTAGATTTATGCAGTGGTTTCTGTGGCGAAATGCCTGAGCGCATCCAAGTATTTCTTTCCTCGCCTCATATATTCTCGGTTTATTGGGATTGCCCTCAATTTTTTTATCATAATTGGATATTTATTTTCTAAATTATCGCAGTTTTCGTGCTCTTAGAAAATTTGTTAAGGAGACTTTAACCATAAGCATTGAATTTTTTTTGTTTTCTTATAATAATTATGCGTTATATAATATCAAGGCTGTTCTCTTTTAATCAATAAAAATAATAAGTATGGCAAAATTTCGACATACCCTAATCAAGTTTCTATTTATATATTTATATATTTCCAAACCCCGAGCGACCAACATCCAAAGATTATAGAAAATTAATTTAAATTAAGCTAAATTTTTTAAATGCGGTAGCCCCTCGGCAGGGAATGTTCAGAACTCCTAGTGTATTTCCGACATGAAATAAAGGTTTCTCATTCATCAGAGTCGGCTTAGTATAAACGTTAGGTTCCTATAATTTGTTGGTAGAACACCAAGAGGCAAAACCACAAATCGAAGGAGGAGCTCGGCTGAAAATCGCTTCAGCGGTTACAAAAGGGCCATTTATATATATATATATCTATTTCATATATAACTTGTTATAATTATTATTATAATTATTATTTTTTTTTTTAAATTTATTCTTTTGTTTACTTTTTGATTGAGAGCTGCCGTTTGCTTGAATTTAATCTTTTTCAAAGTGGCGAACGTCCGAGATGATGCCTGATAATAATGAATAATAATGAGCGGTTATCAAGTTAAACAAACAAAAATATACATTGTAATAAGCAATAGTTGTCATGTTTAGATGAATGAAATATTAAATACTTGCGTTGATAATTATTTGCATGCAACAAAGTTTACGAATATCACTAAGTACTAGAGCAAATAATATTAGTTAGTTGTACTGTCACTTAATGTCAACAATTATCTTTTGAATTCGTAATTAAATTATACATACATATGTTTTGGAATATTTTTTTTCTTCGAATTGTTGACGTTTATTATAATTTTTTTTAATAAAATTAGCTAAACATTAAAGTTAAATAATTAATATTATAAAAAACAGATTCCACAACACGTTGCTGTAGCTTTCGGCATGTTTTCCAAATTTTGTTTTTATTTTTTTTTCTAATTGGTATCACAACGAAAGATAGAAAAATCCCAATTTAAATGCCTTGGGATGGGTCAGGCGCACCATTCGGATCTGTGCTTATTCACACTCAAGTTGAACGTATTGGAATAGCTTGTAACTCGAACATACTCACGCACGATCTATGCTTGTATCCAAATCATACTGACTTTTATCAATCTGTAGGTGATCTCCTTCTCAAAAAGAAAGTGTTATTTATATTTCGAGCAAATTCAACTTGTTTCCAGGTCTTTGGTCTATTTCAAAGAAACACAAGTAAGAATACTCGTAACCTCTTTTAGGAAGGAAGTTCTAGACATTACACTGGTTTGAAACTCCTTTTCTGACCTAATCAAAAACTGGCATGTAGTCAATAAACCATTCTTCTCATTTATTTTCAACTCACTATGAAAACACTATCAGCCCTTCGTACAGTAATAGGAAGAGGACTGACTGCACGATCTTTAGGATAGCCCTGGCAGCATCTTTTGTGAGAGACATGTCTCGCTGAGATAGCCTCAGCGAATATTGGAGATCTAGTTGCCTTTGTAGTTCACACGAAATGGTTCTATCATCTCAGAAGGTAAAAGCAGGAGCCCGAGCGGAATCACAATAGACCTATTGGCCTGAGTATGCTGGCAATAGCAGCCGCATCAACTCAACTCACCTCCAGAATACTCGTATCATCCAAAAGTTGGTATATTTTTTTTAATACGAGTCGATTCACTTTCCGCAAATAAAGAATTTCAAGTCAATCAAGTCAATCGCACCTCAAATACGGTTTTCCAAGTAACTCAGTGTATGTAAGTAAATTGAACCAAACTCACATTTTTTTGACCCTAGTTCACTTCTATGAAAGAGGAGTCGTCTAAAGCTGACGCGATTTTCGCACCAATTTGTGGCAAGCGTCTTGATGTTTTTTTCCAAGAATTCAAGGGAACCACAGCTTTTTCTAAGCCGTCTCCGAGCTGTTGATAGTTTTTCTATGAGGAGCTTTCATTTCATGTCCGAGTACACTCGGCGACCTCAATTAGAATAATTAGCTTGATTTTTTATTCAAATTAGTTTTCGATAATTTTAAATGTTTATCGAACCCTTGCCCACAAAATGGCAGTACGCAATGCCGTACCGAGGTTCCAGTAAATGGAACCATAAATAAGATTTTTTCAAATTTGGTCGGTAACTTTTGGTGACTACGGAATCTTTAAAAACGAACTTAAGATTTTTATAAATATTAATTAAATAACGAGTTGAGGCTTACCACTAAAATTTTCAAATTTCATGGCGTTATCGTTATTAAAAACAATTCCCCATTGCGCCAAAATGTAGGCAACAATTCATACATTTTGATATGAGTAGAAACAAAATGTTTTTTTTTTTGCAATTTCAAATTTTTTATGCAATAAAATTGAATATTCATAAAAATCCACGTAAATAATTCAATTAATTTTTTCCATCCCATTTTTTACGTTTTCTACATAAATAATTTGCAGTAAATCAAAGAATTTTTTAAGTATATCAGTCTTGTATAAAAAAAGTATTATTACAATTTTTTTTTGTTAATAACAAAAAATAAATAAATACCGAGATATTAAAACACAATGAAAATTGCTTTTGCAGAACGCAAGAGTAGTTATAGGTCTACTAGCGCTCACAGCGCTTGCGGCTGTTGCTCCCATGGCAAATGGCGCTCGCATACTCTCAGTCTATTCATTTCCCGGAAAAAGTCATTTTATGATGCAGAAAGCGATCATTAAAGAGCTGATCAGACGGGGACATCAGGTGAGAGTAAAAGAAAAAAAAGCATATTAATAATAAAAATAATGTTTTTTTTTATTACCAACTCAGGTGACACTCATTACGGCCTTCACACTCGAACCGCTCAATTTGGGCAGCAACTATACAGAGATTTTAATTGAGCCCGTCTATGATTTCTGGAAAGATGGTAAGAGTACAAACAATTGTCAAACGTAAATAATATTAAGTGTAATATTAATAAATAAATTTGTAAAATGTTTTTCGTAAAATTACAAAAAAAAAAACATAAAACTGATAAGGAAAGCGGCAATGATTGGGCAAAATTTCGTCGTTTTAAATGTGCGTTCTAAATTTGATAGGTCAATAATTAATTCAGTTCCCTCTGATAATCTCTTCCATCTTGACTTAGCAATATTTTAAAATTAGAAGACTTAAAAATTAATCAAATCTAATTTTAGGTTTTACTTGAGTTTTTGTTTAGTTGGTTGATTGAAAGGGGAGGCGGCGTGTAGAAGTCATTTAGTCGTCTCATTGGGGTCATCTACGTATCTCATTTATGCATATAATAGCTGTAAAAATATCATTACTTCAGTCATCCATGTACACCCATTTTCATAAGACTGGAGCTCACAGCGATGGGAGAGATATAACGCCTTAAGCGGCAGAAGGTTGCTCACTAGCTTCCCGCATAAGCGTATGCTCTCTAAATATGTCATTCTTTTCACTCTGTTGATTCAATCTTGTTAAGCTAGAAATACTGACTGCAATCCCCACCACTTCACAGTAATTCTATGCTACATCATAAGCTAAAATTGCTCCAAACCCTTAAGAACCTCGGTTGTTCTTCAAAGGTTCTAATGTTTTAGGTAACAATTGAAGCCACTGTAAGACCTCAGCCAGTCGGCATTCACTACGCTTCCTTCTGATAGGCTAATTACTGCCTCCTGGCGTCTTGTTCTCACATATTTCCGCTTTATGTTGACATATTTCAATTGGCACCTTCAATAATACCTGCTTGGCTGACAGAGTTGAGTCTCGGAAAATCTAAAGTAAATGGAAATGTGTTCAATATCGCCATTGGCCCTAATCCTTCCTACTTGAGTAGACGTTGGTGACTTGCATTAGCAGAAGGATTATATTTCTCAGTCCATTGCTTCTATAACTTTCTCTATAAACCGATGTGTTCCTCAGTTAGGGAACTGTTCTCATTTGTAATCAGTGCGTCTGCTGTGAACAGCAAACATGAATGTTGGGTCACTTTTCATTGGTTGAATGCGAACGTTTTTTCTTTAGTAGACTAGATGTTTGCTCCATATGTGTGCTTAGATCTTACGACGCCAAATCAACATATATCCTTTCTACGGAAATTCCAAGTTCGGAGCACTTTGCTAGTCCTAGCCGATGCCGATGCCGAGTAGTAGCCGATGCGTTCCCTCGAAATCTTTGACCGAATTGTCGGCTTTTATGATATGGATCTTGAAAGATGTTGAGACAGTGAGTCCTCGTCTCTCAGTCCACTCAGTGTTGACTTCAAGTGCTCGCTTCATTTTCCGTAATAGACGACTTACATGTCTGCCCTAAAATCGGTTGGCAAGCTCACCGCCATAGCAAGATAACTTCAAATATTCTACTGAAAAGCAGCTCAATGAGTTATTTTATTAACACCTCCCATGGCTGCGGGAATATGATGTCTTTACTAAACAGTTTTGAAGCTCTCTCTACGTTAATAAATGCAGCGCAAGTGTGTACTCTTTAAACTCGGCTCTGCTATGTACCGAAAGCTTCATGGAATAACAAGACGAATCAAATTAGTGATGTATGCGTGTGTCTGTGCGTCCGGATCGAGATTGAGGAATGAAAAAAAAAATTTGGATCGGCGTGGCGCCACTCACCCTTGAATCAGAAAAATATATTCCAAAAAATATCAAACAGGGAACCGAATTCAATAAAATTTGATATCTTCGTGGTCTCGTGGAATACGAATCGGACAACAACTAAGCTTTGTCCCATATGAAAGACTTGCCGCTTGGCGGAAGAGCGAACATTTAAGGCATTAACCCGCAGAACTCCTATAAACGTGGACGGTATGCTATGTTTGATACCCTTTATAGGTCATATGCTCATAGGGAGTTGACGCAGATCCAGAAGCAAACATAACTCTGATATCTGCTTTCCATTTTTGACCGATCAGTAGGCTAAGGCATGAACTTTTTAAGGAACTTAAAGAGAAAAGTTAATCGTATCTAACGGATATGACAACTGCAATGTGTTCCAACAACCTGCTGTATCAAAAAAAAGCCTCTACGAACGGACCACGAATATATACCAGACGCGTATCTCATTCTCGGTTCTATACAATATCGGTTTGCTTATCTGATCAGAATCATTTATGTCTACATATAATTTTTTGATGGCTAATTATTTCCAAATTATAATTTACCGTTAAAAAAGTGCGACAGTTTCCATACAAAACTGAAAAAGAACAACATTATTTCCAGTCAAAGAAGATGCTGGCGCACGCAATATTTTCGAATTCACCACAATGGATGTGCCCGGTTTCCTGCAGATGCTACAAGTGCTGGGCGTGGCCACCACCGAGCATGCGCTTCAGCAGCCCAAAGTGCAGGCGATTATAAATGCCAATGAAACGGCAAATGTCTACGATCTACTGCTGGTCGAGCAATTCTATCAGGAACCCTTTCTGGCGCTCAGTCACATCTACAACATACCGGTTGTGAGCAGCAGCACGTTGGGCTATGAGAATCATATGAGTCAGATGTTTGGCATAATATCGCCGTGGTCCTATGTGCCGCACGGTTTTCTGCCCTTCACGGATCGCATGAGTTTCTGGGAGCGTCTACAGAATGCATACAATTCATTGTATGAGGACTTGCATCGCGAGTATGTATATTTTCCCAGCATGGATGAGTTGGTGAGCAAGTATTTCGGACATTTGCCAAGTGAGTTGTGGTGGCGAAGCAGTTTGTTGGACGCGGAATTTTGTGATGTTAAAATTTTTGTATACTTACAGTTAATTTCCCCAAGGTAAGCGAAATGGAGAAGAATCTATCGGCAATGCTATTAAACAGTTATGCGCCAATAACCAGCGCTCGCCCAACCATCGATGGCTTGGTGCCCGTGGGCGGCATGCATATTTACCCACCCAAAGCCTTGCCGAAGGATATGCAGAAATTCTTAGATGAGGCGGAGAATGGCGCTATTTACTTCAGTTTGGGTAAATAATACAATTCTAGAAATTTATTAAAAATTTGCACACATTTTGAGGCGCAGTTTTAGGCGCAAAGTTTTTTACGTTTGTGAGGCCAGCAATTTTGTGATTGTTCTTAGAATTAGATTACTAAGTAAATTTTTACGCTCATTCTGCAGGCAGCAATGTGGAGAGCAAGGATATGCCCGCCGAATATTTGAAAATCTTTCTCGACGTCTTTCGCAGCATGAAGCAGCGTGTGCTGTGGAAATTCGAAAACGAGAGTATCGCTAACCTACCGGCAAATGTTATGGTCAAAAAATGGATGCCACAGAGTGATATACTGGCACACCCTAATGTGCGCGTCTTCATAACACACGGTGGTCTGTTGGGCACACAGGAAGGCGTATACCATGCGGTGCCCATGCTGGGCATGCCATTCTACTGTGATCAGGTTTGAAAAAAAATTTAAAAAAATTTTTAAAATAAAAGAAATTAAAATTTAAAAATAAAACATAGCAAAAAATTTTACTGAAGCACATTTTCTCTACTCTACCCGCACAGCATTTGAACTTAAAGAAAGCCGAGCTCCATGGCTACGCCATCAGTTTGCATTTCCAAGCAATCACCTTTGAGGTGTTGAAAACTGCTCTAACGGAGCTGCTGGAGAATCCCAGCTATCGTAATAATATCAAACGCATCTCGAATATTTTCCACGATCGTCCGTTGAACGCGCGCGAAACCGCTGTCTATTGGATTGAGTATGTGATACGACATAAGGGTGCGCCTCATTTGCGCGCTGCTGGTATGGATATGCCGTGGTATCAGTTTTATTTGTTGGATGTCATCGCTTTCGTTGTTGTTGTCAGTATAATAACTGGATTTTTGGTAATTGGCCTGCTGCGTTATGCGCTGCGTCGTATTGGTGGTGAAGACAAGGAGAATGTAAGGCAGAGCCGAAAACAGAAAAAGCATTGAAGAATCTGTTTTATTTTTAATGAATTGAAATTTTTACATAATTAAATGAAATTTATGATATAATATATATTTTCTATTAAAAATTTATAATAATTTTTCTTTGATTTTTCGGCTTGTTAACAAGTTTCTGATCATTTTTTCTGAATAAAAAAAAATTTTTTTTTTTCTTAACTTGCTCTCTCAGAGACTATTAGTTTTTGGGCTTTTTTGAATTTTTTCACATTTCAAATTTTGTTTAAATAGTTTAGGAATTATTTATAAATATATTGAATGAGTGCATAAGTTCGTGCCCGATTTCAAGTGCAAACTAAAATTTGAAGGAAGCGCTTTTATTAATCAATTATGTATTCGCCATCATGTTCGGCAATCCACTCCCAACGTTCAACCAATTTACAGATGCCTGATTCATAGAAATCGCGCGGTTTCTCGTTGAAAAAGGTGTCAAGGTGGTTTTTGACGTCTTCCACATTTTTAAATTTTTTTCCATTCAAATTGTTCTGCACCGATCGAAACAAATGATAATCAGAAGGTGCAATGTCGGGTGAATATGTGGGATGCGGCATGATTTCCCAATTCATCTCCTTCAGTTTGGCCAGGGTCGGTTTTGCAGCATGTGGCCTGGCGTTGTCATGATGGAAAAGAACTCCTTTGCGATTGGCCAAAATCGGACGTTTTTCATCAATTGATTTCTTCAATTCGACCAATTGCTGACAATACTTGTGTTGGCAGTGATCGTTTCTCCAGGTGGCAAGAGCTCAAAATAGATCACGCCTCGGATATCCCACCAAATGCACAGCAGTACCTTCATCGGATGCAATCCACCTTTCGACATCGGTTCCGCCCCTTCGTGTGCCTGTTTCCATGTTCTTTTGCGTTGAACATTGTTGTACAGGATCCATTTTTCATTACCAGTCACGAGCCGATCCAAAAAAGGTTCGTTTTTGATCCGTCGAAGCAAAAAAATTGCTGTTGACATATCGAGCTTCAAAGTGTACCCAACCTTTAAGTTGATTTGTTGATGTTCAATTCACTGGCAACCTCTTCCGTCGAAATACGTGAGTTGTTCGCAACTAAAGTCTTTAGAACATCGTCATTAAGCTCAGAAGGCCGTCCACTTTCGAGGTTGATCTTCGAGGTTAAAATCTCCAGAACGAAATTTCACGGTCCAAATAAACTTCGCTAATATCTTTTGTTGCAGCGCCACTCTCAAACGATTCGAACGACATCCAGCGGAATCGGGCACGAACTTATGCACTCATCCAATAAATTGAAAGCAGCTAAGGCTATTTCCGTTGTAGACTCATACGAGTTCGACTACAGTTTGGCTTAGATTACAATTTTTATCCTTTTTTTATTTGGTAATTTTCTCGTAAATCGCAAATCTTTCACGTGCTCTAGCTTTGTACTTTTTCAATTTTTTTTTAATATTTAATTATTTGTTTTTATTATTTTTGTTTTTTACTACCCATCAACGTGAGTAATCGTCTGAAAGCTTTACTCAAATATTCTCGAAATGAATTTCCGTTGGAAAACTCAATAAATCCTTTTTGGTGGAGTGGTGCACACATACATATGCTTCCATGGCATGCATGTAATATATAATAATATATGTATATATATACATGTATACAGAATTCGCGTCCGAAATATTTATAAAAAATAATTTAAAAGGAATTAAGTCGGAAAAGGATTTGCAGTGCCAGCATTGAGCAATTGATCTACTCACTCATACCCCTCTAGCTGTAATGGACAGCACAGGCTTGGCAAGTTGTGTAAGCAAATATAAATGCAAATGTATACGCAGACATACAGCAACATTTCCATTCATTGGTAAAGTCGGTTGAATTAATGTGAAAATATGAGGCATACTTTAAGGGGATAAATGCAGCAGCCGACTTCGCATACCAAATTGATATTTTTTGTTGCAAAAATTGGAAATTCATATAAAAATCTTGATGAACACGTACCTTATATTTTACTCGACAAACAATTGAAAGAAACTTTTGACAGTATATTCCTTTAGACTCTGACAGAATACGTTTTGTACGCTAGATGGCACAAGAGTCAATACATTTGTCCCTGTATCCCCCAGCTACCACCGAAAGATATTGACTAACTGAAGTAGGTCCTAGCTGTTAACCTCTTGAGCTGAACCATATTCTCGCGCTGATTCTGCATAGAGTGCGGTATCATGTCGGATTCAAACACACTTCTTTCCTCAAGAATTATCTATCGGTGAGGAGTTCTGGCTTTCAGATAATTGTAGAGTTTTTCAGCTGCAGAATGCAGTTATCAAGGTGACGGTGATAGTTTTCATGAGACAGAACAACACTTACTCAGACAAACAATTCGTTCTTGCGTTCTTCTGTCCACTTCTGGTGAGCTCAGATTGCTGTAGGAATGCTTGTCAACATGGTGTGTGACGTGATGTCGTCTAATTTCAATATCCGTCTCAAAACGCTGATAAAATTGATGATAAAATTGAATGTGTAAGGAACACCACCTCGTTAATGGGCGCTCCTATGTGAGCACGCGTCTACCTCGTGTAAGATGAGCTTGACGGTGACGGCGGCAGCGAGATCTTTCTGTGTAAAGCAGCTTTCCATCTGAAGTTAAAACTCCCACATATAGTGAAAAGTCTGACCGAGCATTGACCGAAGGCAAGTTAAACATTATTGATTGGGATTTTTCCGGTTCCCTGGAATTGCAGTTGTCTGCGAAAATAAATGCATTTGCGAGGCTGAGACTGAATGTTGGGGCACACACTAAGTGATTCACTACTATATCCAGCATGTCTTTAGCGATCTTCACGCAACTGGGTTTAAAAAAAACTCTCCCATTACAGACGTGTTAGCTTCATACTCAACAACGTCTGCTGAAAATGCTGAAGGCTAGATAGTGAGAAGTTTTCCACGACATCTCAATCGCTTTTGAATGCTCTGTATCACCCCTATGAGTATGTTGAATAAAGCGACAATGAGCTCTCCAAACCCTTTCGTTTTAGGACAAAACAACTCGAACACCTGCTCGTCCAGAGGGTTTGAGACAAATATTGCTTCTACGATGTGCCCAAACAGCCCTACACATAATCTTGAAGCCGTTCACAGGAATCAATCTTTTCGCACACTTTTACGCGTTTTGCGTAAATATCTTAGTATGAAGGCATATAACAACCAATTGGTGCAAGGTCTGAATATTAAAATAATATTTCGCCTCTTTTTCACAATAATATTTTCCAATCCCACTCGTAAATTACTGAAAGATCTGACTGTGAGTAAAAGCCAAATTTGCATCCACCAATGTAAGAACTGTACCTGGCGACTGAATGAATACTTATGTAAGATTGAAAACAGCTAAATCCAGTCTGCCTCGATGGTGGGTCCTTTTGTATCGCTACTAAATCATTTAATCATTTTTTACCTCTGATTCCGAAATATTCCTGCTTTCCAGGCACCACAAGCTTATTTTTTTTAAGTACTAAATTACTCACCCTCACTTTGTTTACGAAAAATCCATCATCCCCGACGGAATCAGCATTCTAATGCTAAAAAACCTAGAACCAGCGGGAGCAGACTATCTCACTAAGGTTCCCAATTTGTCTTTGGTCAGCCTAAAAATACCCGGACTTCAGAAAATTGGTACGGTACGAGCCCTAAAACAGGTGAAGCAAGCCAAGAAGGAAGAATTATATCAGCCGATATCTCTCATCTTGAGTCCAGCAGCACAACTATACTCCACGTCATGAATACCCCGATAGTCCATGGCCTCAACCAAATCCGGCCCCGAGTGCGGAAACTTTCAACACCTACAACTATTAAGTAGTACTAACGGACATTGAGGAATCTTTATTACCGCCAAAGTTGAAGATGTGGATTTTCGATATCAAACATCCCATCTCAGAAAGGTGTTCCGAAAACGTGGTATCCTCTCCCCACTGTTGTTTAACTATTACGAGTATACCTCGAAGCTCCCTCGCTGTGAAAGTCGCTGGTGTAAAATTCCGACTATTAACAATTAGAATTTACTAGAAGACACATTCGACAGCCTCCACAATTTCATTCCTCATACAACTGCAATTGCTACAAAAACTCAGAGCCGCAGCAAAATCCTCGAAGCATTAGCCGGAAGCACAAACTAGAAGGCAATTGGCTACCGGTGAATAGCGATGTGAGGACCGCCCTCAGGACCATGACGTGATGCCCGGGCATCACTTGCAAAACAAAGCATCTCACCGAAGGCTTTGCCATGAAAACAATTTCAGCTCCCTACGCTAGCAACCCAACAGACAGTTACTAGGTTCGGGACCATCACCTAGGCACATCAGAGACTGCATTCAGCATAACTTACAACAAACGCTGATTAGAACGGGTTTCCGATAGACATTAAACGTCATTCATAGAGAGTCCGTTAACACATTCCTGAACTTTCATTCAGTGGATGGCGTTCTCGGTGGAAAGCCACTTCCCATTGCAGACGAAGTTCGAGCTGCTTTGCTGCCCACCGCGTAATACTCACACAACTAACATATGGATTTTGTAATCAACTAAGCTCTTGCCTATACAGACTTGACCCCGGCATACCCAACGTGCATATGTTTTGCATGCATGTATGAGTCCCCCGTCCGACACTAACCAGCTCTTTTCATGCCCCATTAAAGGAACACATTCAACCCGCCTCTCCCTCTGCATCGAACCCAATGACACAGCTCCTGTTTTCTGGAACTCGCCTTAGAAGGCCTCGTTGACTTAGATTAAACTGGCCTACTCCTAAGCAGAGCTAGCAAACTGCTACAACAACAACAATGATATTTTATTTAATTTTTTTCTTCAAATCCAAAAACTCTTTATTAATTCAAATGAATTTATTTTCATTTCACAAACGTAAATGTACAATAAGTCATAAATTTTCTTCATTAAAAGTACAAAATATATATGTATGTATGTATGTAAGTTTGTTTATTTAATTAATTTATTTTTTTTCAGCAAGTTTGATCAAGGAACGAGGTAACTAGTGAAATAATTTAGAACAAGGCTTACGAAAATCGGTATAAAACCGGCGACAATTGTCACAACGGGACTCTGAAATGTGAAATGGATGTGGGAAAGAGAGAGAGAGAGAAAGAGAGAGAATTTTGAGCTTTTAATTTTGTTTCAAACCAAAAATAAATTTTGAAAAAGTTCACTTAATTTGAATGAAATTGAATTTTGCATTAATTTTTGCTTTTTATTTTTTATTTTTTATTTTTTAATTTTTTTTTTTATTCTTTGACATTTAATTCATATGTTTTTTTTATTTGCATTGCAATTGCATTATTGTGCCGTTACAAACAAGTGCATGATTGTGTATTTGTGTTGATATGCGAGCGTGTATGTGTGTGTGTTTTCGTGTGTTTTCGTGTTTTGATGTTTTAATAGAAAAGTTTAAAAAATTAGCTTTTTGCATTATAAAAACTTGGCATTGGCACCCTGTATATATAAAAAATTGATTTAGCGCTCCACACATTCGCCAGATCTTGCCGCAAAGCACAGCGCAGCTAATTAGCTTGTTTAATGGCTGATCATCATGGACTTCTTTACCTTCTTCTCGGTCTTCTCATGGGTGACAGTGACGGATTCTGTTGAAATAAATTTAAAAATAATTAATTTTCAAATCAAAAATTAATCTAAATAAATATTTTCAAGTCAAAAGTCTCTGATCGAAAACCATAACCAACCTTCGAATTTCTTTGGCAACTGCTTGATGGTCTCAACGGTGCGTACATTCTTCTCACCGGGTTCGATGATCTCTTCCTCGTAATCCTCCACAATCTCTTCTTCGCTCTCCTCGCCTCCCTGAGTTGCCACGGGATCGTAGACAGTCTTAACGGCCTTCTTGACAATACCCTCCTTGGTGACAGTGGTGTAATGGTACTCGGTGCCGCCTTCGATCTTAATAGTTTCGACAGTGGTCACATCACCGGGATTCTCGGAGGGCACAACCTTCTTAGTGCCCGATTCAGAACGTAGCTTTTTGGTTGAGGTGACATTCTGATGTTTTTCAGCATCTTTTAAAGTTTTCTTATAAGCGCGTATCTCCTCCTCAGTCAACTCGGCTTCCTCCTCCTCGTACACGGTCTTCGAAGTGGTAATGGTCTTACCGGACTCCAATTTGGTTGAGTATGTGTACTCCACGCCATGTGGTACACGCTTTGAGGTCACAGTGGTGGTATCATTCTCAATGAAGTCTGGTGGTGGTGGCGGTATGTTCGACTTGGTCTTCTTAGTCTTCTTTTTATCTTTGGTATCAACACCGCCAGAGGATGAGGTAATTTGCTTGATATTCTGTTCTTGCACCGAATTCTTACGCACCGTACGGTTGTTCTCGGTAATCTCAGTGCTCTGCATGACACGACGTGACTCCTCGACAGTGGTTTCTTGTTTGAAATTACCCTGCTGTTGGTCGGTGCGTTGTACAATGCGACGCGATTCAGTCGAGTCAGTCGAATCTACCGACGACTTCTTCACCAAAGTCTTCTTCTTATTTTTATCAACTGGCGCGCCACCACCGGGTGCCTTGTAGTTGTCGGGCAGCTCAGTGGGCACGGAATCGAAGAAGGTCTTGGTTTTTGTGCTGCGTGTGCCATCATCATTGACGGTGGTGTACACCTCCTCATAGCCACCTTCAATTTCGCGTGTCAACATGGTCGTCTTATTGTCAATGCGTATCTCCTTGCCGAAACGCTTGCGAATTTCCAACTTATTCTGTTGTTCACGCTTCATGTCCTCCTCACTCACCGGTTTGGGATCCCAGAACGTACGCACGGAGGTCTTCACAGTGCCATTCGGTTGTGGTGCGATGGTGCGTACCTCATAGCCGCCATCGATGACTTTATATTCGGTGCGTGCCTTGGTGACGGGGTCAACCTCGACTTTGCCGTCTTCAATGTCAGCGGATGTCAAGAGTTCTGTGCGGTGTGCAGTGCAAAGCAGGGGTGTAAGGTGTTCGTTGTTGAGTTTTTGTGGGTGTTTCGTTGTTGTTTAAAGAAAAGAGGTATGTGTGTGTGAGAAAGAAATATTCATTCGAAATTGCTAGATTTTGTGTTATTTCTTAATTTAATTTTCGATTTTTTTTTGTTAATTTTTAATTTTGTTTTTTAGTTTTTAGTCTGTGGTTTAATTCTTAAGCATCTTACGCAGCTAATATTAGAATAAAAAAATTCAAGCTTCGAATCCTGAGTTCGATTTCCAATAAAGCACTTAACGGCAACACCCGAGGGGAGGTGTCACACTGAGAAAAATTTACACGCAATTCGTAGGTCGTTGAATATGTTTGTTTGTAAATATTTCAGTCGTTTTCAGTACGTCCTTGTAAGTATGTGCAAATGTGGGTGAGTTCATCGTCAGCCTTTGAACGTGATTTTGTGAGGGTCCTGGATCTACAACTACGTGTTCGGGGGTTGAACTGCCCTACGGTTTGTCTTTTGCGATCATACATGTACGGGATTCGGTAGCCGCACGCCTGCAAGCTCTTCCAGTATGCAGGTGGGCAGCAGACAACCGTAGCGAGCGACCAGTTTAAGTAATTGTTATTTGTTCTTACGGTGGGATCTGGTGGGAGCCTGCTTGGCGGCTAACGATTGTGCTTGTGATTGTTGTGAGGTTTGTGCTTGTGCTTGTTGTTGTTGTTGTTGTGGGTGATTATGTTGATGCAGTCGCGGCGGACGTTGCGGTTGTTGAGTGGTCGGCGGTTGCGGTAACTGTTTGCGTGGTTGTTCTTGTACTATTGTCCGCGTTTGTTGCTGTTGTACTGGTACCTGTGCTTGTGCTTGTGCTTGCAACAACGTTTGTTGTTGTATAGGTGTCGTTAGTTTGGGCTGTTGTGTGGTGGGCTGTCTTTGCACCGTCTTCGCCTGTTGTTGCTGTATTTGTTGTAATTGTCGCTGTGCAGCTTGCTGTTGCTGCTGCAATTGCTTTTGTATCGCCTGTTGCTGTTGTTGTTGCTGCAACTGTCGTTGTATGGCCTGCTCCTGTTGTTGCTTCTGTTGTTGTATCAATCGCCGTTGCCGTTCTTCTTGTTCCAACTGCCGTTGTAGTTCCTGTTGCTGTTGCAATTGTTTTTGTATTGCCAACTGCTGTCGTTGTTGTTGCATCGGTGAGGGTGTCCTATTTAAATTTCTTGGCGCATTGAGCGATTGTGCATTAGTATTGTTGTAAATGTTATTATTGTTATTATTGTTATTGCTAAAAGCATTATTATGGCGATTTGCTGGCGATCTGCTACGCCTCAACAAAGCATTATTAGTATCCACCGTCAGTAGAGGTCGCGGCAAGCGCTCCTCCACCTTCTGCTCTTCCAGCATAACAGCGCTCTCTTGCAGCATGCGATTAATGCGTTCTAAGCGTTCCGATTCAGCCTTCTCAGCTTGGGCTGCTGCCGCAACGGCAGCCGCAGCCTTAGCCATAGTCTCAGAATCAACTTCAGGTTGTGGCACTGCCACAGGTGCACCTATTTGTGGAGAGGGAGAGTTGTTAGGGGGATTTCGATTTTCTACTACGTAATTTTGTTGTTCTTTTTCGGCTGAAAATAACAAAATAAACGTCGACTGAGTTTCAATACAACAATTTGGTGCCATTTTCTGTTATGTGTGGAGCTGAAGTGATTTATGTTTCGACGTTGGATGTTCGCTTGATTAGATGATTGAATGGTTGATTGATTGGTGAACGTATGAAGATGTTGATGCCGTTGAAAAAATCATTGTTGGTGAAACAGAAGTTAGAAAAAAAGTCCCCCAAATGTATGAAGGTGAAAATACAACATTGATTTCTATACAATTAACAAGGCATGCGTTTTATGAGAACAAAAGAGGCAAGAAAACAACTTTAAAGGGAAAAGAAGAAAAGGAAAAAAACACTCTGAATAATATCAAAGATTTGAAAAACATAAAAAGTTAACAAAAATATTCTTCAAATAGCACAAACTCAGAAACACTCTAAAAGATTTGACAGAATATATAATTTAAGGTTCATTTCAACTAGTCCATCACTAGTACTAATTGAAAGCAAACAGCTTAGGATTATCTTTTAAACAAAAGAAAAGTTAATTTGTCGGTTTTGTTCGAAAACTAAGATTTCTTATTCCTTATTGTTCTTCAAACAATTTTGTTTTAGAATTTAATAAAAAAAATAATTATGATGTATTAAAATTAGAGAGAGGAAAATAGCAAAACGAAAACCAAATGGATGGGAACAACTGCAATTGTATGAAAAATTTCAGAGTTCTTTGAATTGATTTGGGGCGAGAAATCGGTATACATATGTATCTCAAATAGAGAGTGAGGATGGTAAACTGCATTTACTGTACTCGAAAAGTGCGTGAACTCTTATGAAATGATTTATTGCATATGAAACTCATGAGAAATTCGTATGAAAATATGGAAATAATATTACCTCCATAAACATACTCAACATATTTTACTAGTATTTATAGTTACAGTACATTTTCTGCATAATGAAGCAAACTAGTGGCAAACTAGTTTTAATTGGACCAGTTGCTTATAACTCACTTCAGTTATCAAAACTTTATTAAACACGTTTTTAACCAACAAATATAATATAAAAGTGATTTTTGGCCGAAAATTCTTCAGTGGTTACAAAGCGCCAATTATGTATGTTTATCACAAAGCGTTCACACTTCGTGCTGCGCAAAAATATAAATGATATTAATTATCATGCAGCGTAATATTTGTGAGATTTCGTAGCTGCTATTTATGATACTTCAGTCAAAAAGTTTATCAATTTCGATATTCTTACGACTGTTTACTACTGGTATATCAGCAAAGCTAGTTACAAATATACATATATATGGATATATGGATATATGTATGTATATATATTATTCTTAATGATGAAGAGCTTCATTCAAAAAACATTACGCTTCCAGATTTTCACCATAGTAGAAATTCGTATGCGATAATTTTGGCGTTATCGATAATTTTTAAATTACTATACGTATTCGTTATCGTCAACTTGGAGTTGAGTTACCCAATTGTTTTTTTTTTCGTTCTCAAATTTGCTTTCAAAAAGCATTTATTTTCGATCATTTTATATTAAGCATGAAAAATAATTGTTATCGATAACTTGTAACCGTAGTCTCAAGCTAACTCATTTTCGCTTGATTTTCAATTTTTTTTTAAGAAGTGCACCATAAGTTAATTTTTCACTTTGATATTATTATCGTTATTGATAACTGTTAAATATTGATAATAATCGATAACTGTTAAATATTGATAATAATCGATATTGCTAATAAGTAGCTTTCAAATTTCTTGAAAACGGCTAATTAGAAATAGTTCCCATTATTATTAGAGAAAATATTTGAAAAAGCAATCCTTTGATTTGTAACATTATCATCGTTACATACACATCCAGGGTTGCATTTTTACAAACATTGACAAATATGCTTACTTTTTTATAAAAAAAAAACATATGTTAATTAAATTACACACTTAAATCTCCATACGGGTCAGCAACTAAATATGTACACAAAAAACACTTCTCAGCTGTAAGTAAAAAAACATTAAAAATATTAATAAATAAAAATACAAATATATTAATACATATATATGCGTATAAAAAAGTATCGTAATGAAAATATTAAAAATAGCATTTAATGAAATAAAAATTCAAACACATTTTTTTTCTTTTTAATTATATTCTAAATATTTATCTTGTTATACAAATAGGATTCATTCGAAAAATATATTTAACATTTGTTATTAATAATTCTTTTTTTTTTTTTGCTTTAAATATATATTTTTTTTTTTTATTTTTTTTTTCACTGTAAGAGAATTATTTAAAATACACAAATAATGTAGGTTGAAGATTTTTTAGTTCAACATTTTAAGGAGTTCAGGAATATATGTATACGCATATACGCCGAAAACACACACAAGTCCAACAAAAATCGAAACAAATGAGATTTCAAAGAAAATTTGCAAAAATTTATTAAATACAAAAAATGGCTTACACGATATAGTCAGAATTTTTTTTACATTAATTTTTATAAATGAAGTATTGAAATGATTTGAAAAAAAAAAAAAAATATTCATGATCAACTGACGTACTTTGGATATGCATTGTACGAAACAGAAATTGAAAGTGTGAATATCAATTAAAAAATTAATAAAATGTGTAAATATTCAACAAATGCAATGATTTCGGTGCGATGAATATGGCAAACATGAGAATTGTTTTTGTGCCACTTAAATTTGTAAAAGTGTGCAATTTATATTTTGGCAATTTTTATAAAAATATATATATATGTACGCCAATTTCTTTTTTTTTTTTTTTTAAATAAACATTTGTGCGTGTGTTTACTTTAGGGGAAAAGTTATATTTACTTTGTGTGTGTGTTTTCTACCTCATGTTAGTGTGGGTGTGTGGGGGTGTGTGTATTTGTGTGTGGGTGTATTCAGTGTTTTGTATTTGTAATTTAAAGATTTTGTTGTTCATTGTGCTTAATTGCTTTTTTTTAGCAAATATATATTTATTTGCTCAATTTTTGTTGAAAATGTATGCAATAAATGTTGTTGTTGTGTTGTGCATCTTTTCAGAAAATAATTAATTTTCTTATTTATTTATATATTATAAATGTATGTAGTATATAAATGGAGGACGTCTGTACGTGAAAAGATTTCTCTTCCTATTCGAAGAGCATTTTTGTATTTTTATTATTTTTTTTCTCTTATGAAGTACCAGATTTATCCTCCTCCTTTGGTGGCGATGGGCTGGGCTTCGATTCCAAAGTTTGTGTTATTTTCTTCCAAATATTGTCAAAGGAATCTCTGCCCGCATAATCGATTTGTCCTGCCTCCCAGCACTGGCGACGCATCAGCTGTTCGTAGGCCTCCTGTTCGGGTGTGCGTTGTTCGCCGAGACGCAATTGTGACAAAGCGCCAGCCAAACCAGCCTAGAGAGTTGTGGAGAGAGTATGGAAGAGAATAAAGGTTTTTTGTTAAATTTTTTTTTTTAATAATAAACGAATTAATAATGTGTGTGTGTGTGTGCAAATTACAGTGAAAGTGTTTATGCACATTTTGATGCTATAGTTGGAGTAAAAATATTTACCAATTAAAAGAGATTAAATGAGCTTCGACTAAATAAAATTATATAACATATAAAGACATCATGTGTAATAAAATAGAAAGAAATAAAAGAAAGTAATAAACAAATAAAAGACAATAAAACATAATAAAGCAAAACAAAATAAAACAAAAAATAAAAAATAAACTAAAACAAAATAAAATAAATTAAATTGAGTTAAAGTTAAGTTAATAAAAAAAGGAATTAAAATAAATTATATTAATTTAAATAAAAAGAAACAAAATAAAATATAAAAATATAAAATAAAATAAAGTAAAATAAAGTGAAAAAAACAAAACAAAATGTAATGAGATAAAATAAATTAAATTAATATATAATAAAATAAAATAAAATAAAATAAAACCAATCAAAATTAAATTAAATGAAAAAAGTAAAATAAAAAAAATACAAATTAAAAGAAGGAAAATAGAGTTACATAAAGGAAGAATAAAATTAAATAAAATAAAACCAAACAAAGTAAAAATAAATTAAATAAAATAAAAAATGAAATAACATAGAATTTAAGATACAGAATAAAATAAAATGAATTAAATTAAAGTTAATTAAAACAAAATAAAATAAAAAATTAATAAATAAAATTAAATTAAATTAAATTATATTAAATTAAATCAAAAGAAATAAAATAAAATATAATAATTTAAACCAAATAAAGTAAAATAAAATTAAAAAATCGAAACCAAATAAAATTAAATACGACAAAATAAATTAAATTAAAATAAAATTAAATTAAATAAAATGAGAAAAAAGAATATAAGAAAAAAATTAAATTAAAAAACACAATTAAATATAAGAAAATAAATAAAATAAAAAATAAAATAAATAAAACAAATTAAATTAAAATTAAATGAAAAAACAAAGTAAATTTAAACAAAAAAAAATAAAATAAATACAATTAAACAAAAAAATTAAATTAAAATAAAACAATTAAGTACAATAAAACGAAACAAAATTAAACCAAACAATAGAAAATTAAATTAAATAAAATGAAAGAAAGATTTAAAATTAAATTAAATAAAATTAAATTTAATAAGCAAAAAAATAAAATAAAATGAAAACAAACTAAAAAATAAAGGAAAATTAAGCAATTAAATACAATAAAATTCAATTAAAGTAATTGAAAGAAAGGAAATAAATAAAAAATTTAAAATAAAATTAAAAAAATCTTAATTACGCAAAAAAAATTAAATGAAATAAGAAAAAATAAATAAAATTAGATAAATTTTTCAAAAATACATTATAATAAAGTAAAATAAATTGTAATAAAATGAAACCAAATAATGAAAATAAAAAAATTATAAAAAATAGTTAAAATTAAATGAAACTAATTAAATTTAAATTAAAAAGCTTTTAGGCAAATATTTTCGAGACCAAAACATATGCAATTTACAATATATATACAATAAAATATTAACGTAAAACATTGTGAATACCAAAGCAAAGCCTTAAGATAAGTTAGTATATTTTAGTTTAACACAAAACATTTTGGATAAATATAACATTCACTTCAATACAATTATATGGATGCATACACACAAGTGTTCGTAGGTTCTTATATACATTTGAGTAATATTTCAAATAAGTGTGTTAATAATTTGTTTATTTTATTATTATATTGTTTTTTTTTTTGTTTTCACAAAACACCAAACAACTCCTTCATTCACCTTGGAAGAGATTACTATGATTTAGCGATGTTATTTTCAATACTTTTCTGAAAATTTTGTATACTGTGCACATAAGTAGTAGTAAGTCCCGTTACAGTTTAAATTATGCCACTTTAAAATACATAATGAAAATGAATTTTATAAGCAATGAATGAATGAGATGAGCGAATTTGTCAAAAAAAAGTTTAAAATTGCATAGAAATGAGTATTTTTTTTTTAATTCATGAGTAGATGGTGATCATAATTTATTGAAAAAACATAAATATTAAAAAAAAACCAAAACGTTCAAAATCGAATTTTTTTATCTCACGAAATGAACAGATATTGATTAAAAACTCTAGTACAAAAAAAATTTAATAACTTTTTAACGTGAGAACCAACTGAATCATTACGATTGCAATGGCTACCCTGGAATGAGTAAAACTCAGAGAGAGAGGGAGAGAGCTGGTTACTTTAACAAAGATCCGTTTTTTTTTTTTTTTTTTTTTTTTTTATTATTTGTGCTAAACAAAAAACCACTCACAGGGCAGTCAGAAATATCAATGTAAACTGTAAACAAATTTCTGTCCACCGGAATCTTTTCATGTCAAAGTAAAAAAATTGATGACAAAATATTTGTATTATAATTATTAAATGTGAAATGCTTAAAATTTAATTCAATAAAAATATTTTAAATATGTTTTCAACTCAGGAATAAGTATTTTTAAGCAAGTTTTTTTGCGGATCGAAGTTCCACAAATCTGACTTTATTTTCCAATTTCATAGATCATTGGTCAAAGTAGGAAATATTTCCAAAAAAAAAAAAACAAAATCTAAATATTAAAGAACTTTTCTTGACTTTCAAAAATAAAACAACGCGTCCACGAAGATGGTGAATGAATAGAGTGTTAAGAAAACATAAAAATGCTGTAAAATGACGAGCACGAGATCTGAAAATGACAATAGACGGTATGCAGTGATGTGTTATGAACTCTAAAACCAAAATTTGACTTGACATTTTTGACACTTTAAAACTAAAAAAACTGTAACATTTTGAAATATTGTTGAACAAGTCACATGACTACTATGACGACATCACCAGTGGTATGACATTAATTAATGATTATGAAGTTGATTGATTTAATATAAGATGACTAGTGACATGACTAGTGACATGACAAGTGACATGACAAGTGACATGGAAAATGACATGACACGTGACATTGAAAATCACATAGAAAATCACATGACAAGTGATATGGCACGTGACATGACAAGTCAAATTACATGACACGTGACATGAAAAGTGACACTACAACTGATATTCCACCTTATGAATGATTAGTAGTCATATCATATATATATAAGAGATGTTAATCATGTCATTACGGCTAACGTGACTGGTGACATGACAGGTGACATAATAATGTACATAAATTACATCACTTTGGACAATCACAATCATATAAACTATATATAAATATAATAAATATGAAAAACCACATTAAGAAAAACTGAATGGCATGACATGATCTTTGACATAGCGTTATGTAGGTTCAAATGAATTTAAAAATGTAAATGATAAGCCAGCGTATCGAGAGTTAATGAGAATATGAAATTGCGTACTGAAATATCGGCAAATGATTTTATTTATATTACTTTTGTGCTAGTAAATTTATTTATTTTTATTTTTGTAATGTAAACACCTGCGTGATTCATACAGTGAAAAGCCCGTCTACGCCAAAGAATATGACATGCTTCTCTAATATCGTTTAATACAAGCCAAACATGATACCAATTCGGACGAATCAAACAGTTTTCTAAACTCCCACAACTAAGTTTGTAGACAATTACACTTTTAACATTTTTTAATTTTTTTTTTTTGTTTGCAAATGTTCAACTATACATCACCATCTAAGCCAGTACTAATGTAATGTATGTATATACCGAAAATTTGTTTTTTTTTTTTTTTTTTTCTATTTATATAGTACTCGTGGCACGTCACTTTACCTCATTCGTTTTAGTTTTAGTTTTAGTTTTCTTTTCTCTTTCTCTTTCATTCACATCTTTACTACGGAATGCTTGCTTATCTGTACTAGACCTAGTGCTAACGGTAACTTTCTTTGTCTCATCATCACGTCGTTGCTTTTGCTCTTTTGATGCGGGTGAAAAGTCTTGTTGTCGTTGTTGCTCTTTTTTGGCAGTGTTTTCTTTACGAATTTTCGTTTCATAAATTTTCTGTTGACTTTCACTTGTTGTTGTTGTTGTTTTTGTTGTTGTTGTATTCTCATTTCTTCGAGAATTTGTACTTTGTTCATAGGACTTATGAGTTGCATGAATTTCAGGAGTTTTCTGTGCTCCATGGTCATGATGTTCTGGTTCTATTGGCTTTTCATGTTGTTGTTGCTGCTGTTGTGATTGTACATGATGTTGCTGGGGTTGTGTGGCTGCAACCCAAGCCTGTTGTTCTCTATTATAATTAGCCTCTTGTTGATCTTGTCTCTGTTGCTCTTCTTCTTTGTGTTGCCATTCGTGAGTTGGCTCCGACGCTGGTGGTTGCGATTCCGGCTCGTGATGTTGTTCGTGGTATTCATGCTGATGCTCGTGATGTTGTTCGTGGTGTTCATGCTGATGCTCGTAATGCTGCTCATGATGTTGTTCACGTTCTTTGCTTTCTTGCTTCGCTAAATTCTCATAGTAATCTTCCCAAGGATCGCGAAATTCTTTGATATTTTCAAATTCGTAATAATTCGGCGCTGACGACGGCGAATGTTCGTGATGCTGTTCGTGCTCATAGTGATGATCATAGTGGTCGTGTTGTTGTTGCTGTGCGGGTTGTTGTTGTTGATAATGATAGTAATAATGAAGGAGCGCCCCACACTGCGGTGATTTGTTTTATTTATTTATTTTTACGTTGTCGCGTGAATTTTTTGTTCAAATTTGTTCAATGCCAATATTTTTGTTTTTTTGTTTTTGGTTTTTCAACAACATTTTGTAAAACCATTAGCAAATGGGTTTTGAGCGTAAAAGCATTCCAAATGTTTTTTAAATTTTTTTTTAATTTTTTGTTTGTGGTAAAATATTTGTTTTTGATTTTGCAAGTCAGTTATTAGAAAAGTATAAAAAAATTATAATTTTTTAGCATTTGTTAGTAGTAAAATTGTTATATATTAAAATGGGAATATATATGTATATATATATATATGTATATATATATATATGTATATATATATATATGTATATATAGCAATAGCTAAGCTAGTAACAGCATGCAGAAATGCTTAATTACTTGTATATTTAATAAATCATTTAAAAATTGTTGACGCTGAGGTGGGAGAAAGTGCTACCGGAGTGTAAAGATGTATCGTACTCAAGTCCTTAAAAGACTTTGTTTCGAAAACAGATTTATAACACGTTTTCTTTACAAATTGCCTTTTTATATAAAATATCTACCGATTTTTTTTAGTTTGGCTCGTTGTAAGAAAGAAGCTGTAGGTCCTGTTATTAAAGCCTATTCTCCAGACGAGCGCGAGGGACTCGTTCTTATATCTTTTCTCTGTACGAAGTTTAAAAAAAAGTTCAATATCAAAAACTGCATAAAAGTTCAACATCGGTTTTCAACCTATAGCTCCGTTCCCGAGCAAGATCGAATCTTTTTATTTGTTACACAGTGTAATTTGTATTGTTTAAATTAGTTTTTATCAGAATTTATTGCAAAATGAATGTTAAGGATAATAATGTCTTAAAACCTGTATCAGAATTACACTGCAGGCCTTAATTGCTATCATAACCTCCAGGATGTTTGATTTGATGAATGAATGTTGGAAGTCTACTATTAGGGCAAAGGGGTGCTTATACGAAGAGGGGTTTTTCTGAGGACTAAAGTGGTGCGATAACAGAAAGCAGATGCAGTTTAATGGGATAACCATTAGCTTGTGCTGTGTGCAACCCAAGTTCGAGTCCCAGTTCGAAAATAGGTGCCTGGAAAAAAACGTTTGATGAGGAAACGTGCTGGTTTCCGAAATAGCAGCTATAACTTCTACCGTCTAAAACTCTTGTTGTATTTTTTCACATATTCCCAAAATATATGCTCTAAGACAGTCCCATACAACTAGAACCCAAAAACAATTCTACATAATAACGGCCAGAAAAAGCATCTAAATACTGGAAATGTTGAAACCATTTGTGAAAGAGATTTTCGTTTTTCATCTTTTTCTAAACCGGAGATAAAAATAAATGTTAAAGTATAGAGTTTAATTGGAATCCCAGGTTCGAGTTTGGATACGACTAACAGCCAAAATTGTAGACATTTTTTTTTTTCTAACGGCAGTCATCCCTCGGCAGGGAACGTCAAGTGAGTGTATTCCCGGGTTTCTCATAAAACCCATTGGCCATTCGGAGGCGGCTTGCAATAAACTGTAGGCCCCTTTATTTGTTTGAATACGATTGACACAAACTAACACATTTTTGTCTGACAATTCAAATAGGATTTTCCGTGAATACAGTACTGAAAAATAACATTTAATATTTTGATTTGAGTATAAATTAAAACAGAGAAATTTCATTGACCGAAATATTTTCAGTGAAACGCTTCTGAAATGAAAAATCAAACGAATCATTTCTGAAAAAACTCATGACGGGCAATGAAAAATGGCTTAAACATAAGAATATCAAATGAGAAAAGTTCGATCAGCCTAAAAAGAACGAGTTCAATTCAGGCAAATAATGTGAGAAGTGTCCCTCCAAGGGTGCTGGCATACGGGTGGGTCATTTTTGAGCTCCACTGCCGAAGGTTAATCATCAAATACCTGAAAAAAACGCAACCAGAATCGAACAATAAAGAAGTTGTTACTCATAATGGCAACATACCTCTTTGCCGATTGGACAAAAAGTGAGGAAGCTTGTTAAGAAAGTTTTGATGCATCCATCATTGCAGCATCTGTCCATTCCGTTTGGTATCTACCAAACTCTCTTGATGGTAAAATAAAAATATTAAGCTACCTCAAGAGAGGCAAAAGGGCATAGCTGATAATGGTCAAAATATGTTTGTTCAAAGTTAACAGTAAATTTAATTAAAACGCTCTTCATTTCCCAGTATTTTTTTTTTTTTAGAAATAAGACATGCCCTGGTACCTTCAGTTTAAGAGCTGAAAGATGTAAATGAAGAGTAAACCAAGGGATTTTATCAGAATTTGAATAAAAAGAAACGCCGAGAATGTGTAGTAAAAGAAATATGGCAACCTTTGGTATAAGATTTCTACGGAAACTCCAGCTGAAATCTCAATTCGTAGCTGATGTATTTATTACTGCACCTCAAATGTTTGTTTTCTGCTTCGCAATAAAAATTTACTTCATAATTTAGGTTAAAAAAAAAACACCAAAGTAAAGTCACTTTATGCGAATTCAAACAAAAAGATTTCATAAGAAAACTTGTGGTTAGAAAATATTTTTAATCCAGCCACAAAATTACCTCAATATAAGCAATCTCAACCAAAGGTGGAAGGAAGTTGTTGAATATTCTATTTATTTATTAAAATTAAAAATCTAAGTCTACTTATTTTGCCAAAATAAATTAATAATTTATAAAGAGATTTAAAAGAGAAGTGAAAAATCTGTAACATCTGCGATTTTTGAACTGAAACTAATGGATATGAATCCATATCGACTAGTATATATTTGCATACACATATATTTGTGGCACAATGTTGTTTAACAAAAATAAATATACTGCATATATGTATGTATTTCTAATCTAATTTGCTGTCATTGTAAAAATAAACGTTGATTTTTCTTTAATTTTTCGGTTATTTGGCAAAAAGCCAATCTCATGCCAGCGAAATCTCCTTTAAATAGAGAAAAACAATAAAAAATTATATATATATATTAAAAACAACAAAATAAATAACCAAAATACACGCGAGAGTGTTTAAAAGAAAATTCCACAAAATTAATAGAAATTTTTTTCGAAATGAAATTGCAGCAACAACGACGCTGGCAATTATGCGTATGGAAAGCGTTTTGGGTGTGGCGACCCTGACTTCAATTGAGGCAATTGGCAACGAAAATGGCACTGTTGCAAGCATGTATACATATGTTGATATGTGCAATGTGTTAGTGGGAAATTGCGCACATTAAATTTGTTTAAGACACAATTTTGCAAAAAAAACATTGAATTTTCGTGAAAACAACCAGTTTTCAATATTAAACAATGAAATTGAAGACTAAAAAATTATAAAAAAATAAAAAAAAAACTATTGTTGTTGCCCTCTGCATTTTGTTCAATTTTTTTGTCAAATTTCTTTGGCATAGAACGTTAAAAAGCCCCTAATGGAGTATCATCTGAGTCAAAATGTTAAGTTTTTATTTAATTATTATTCTAACAACATATTTATATGTATGGACCACCTCACCGCTGTTCAAAGTCTTTCATGAATGTTTCAATATACCTCGTAGCAAGCCAAACGCACCCATTCCGAGCTGCGCTTACTTAAGTAAGTTAAATATTTAAGAACGCCTTGTAAGTTGACCGTGGCTACGCATGATCTATCCTTATATAAAAATCATACTTATATTATATTTATATTTTGAGCAAATCATACTTGGTTCCAGGTCTCTACCCAATTTCCAGGGACATAAAAATCCATTTAGTTATATTAGGTTGTCAAATATCTCCTTCGTTAAAGGCAAATACGCTAGAGAAATGTTCCGTGAGATTAAAGGTGTTTTGGGGGATGGTACTCTATCACTTAGAACCGCGGAGGAATGGTTTCGGCGATTCAGAGCCGGTGAAAACGACACCATGGATAAGCCAGCCGGCGGAACACCCGTTAGACCGGCATATGGCATCTTGTGACATCGCCCAGGAGATGGGAGTTAGTCACCAAACCATTTTGAACCATCTGCAGAAGGCTGGATACAAAAAAAGTTTGATGTTTGGGTGCCGCATAATTTGACGCCAAAAAACCTTCTGGACCGAATCAACGCCTGCGATATGCTGCTGAAACGGAACGAACTCGACCCATTCTTGAAGCGGATGGTGACTGGCGACACACGACACGATCACATACGACAATATCAAGCGAAAACGGTCGTGGTCGAAGGCCGGTGAATCGTCTCAAATAGTGGCCAAGCCGGGATTGGCGGCCAGGAAGGTTATGCTGTGTGTTTGGTGGGATTGGAAGAGAATCATTCACTATGAGCTACTCCCGTCTAGATGGAAACAGATCATCCAACAAAAGGGCGCATATTTTAACTGAATCCGATCACTGTAACACTTTTTATAAAGCATTGAATGAAGAGCAAAAAAGCGGAATGGAGATATTTGACAACCTTATATTATCCAAGAATTTCATTAGGACATAGCATGTCTATATGTATATGTTTTTAGCAAAACCCTTCCTTTTCCGTATAGTTCAGTCTCTGGTGCACTTTCTGTAGAGAAGAGTAGTCTCTTTTTTAATCTAGGCAAAAAAACCACCATCGAAATTCATGTAAATTGAAACGTAAATACGATAATGCGATGCCGGTGCATTTTGCGCTCAGCTCTCAAGGAATTTTAGAACCAAAGCTGACAAAACTTCGAATCGATCGGTCGGTAATCTTTCGAGATATGCGGATATCCACAAATTAACGTAAAATAAATATATTTGTATAATTATGAATATCTCATTTTAAATCATTTTGGCCTCATTTGCGCTCGTTTCTAAAAAAAATATTTGCCTCATCGTTAAGCTCTCATTGAAATGGCATAAATAAAGTATATAAAATTCAAAAATTTTACTATATACCTTTGACTGTTAATGGCGAACTCAATATTTATCCACTAAACGATTTCAAATTTAGAATGTGTGTATGTATATGTATCTGTCGCAAATATTGCATTGCCAAAACTAGTTGAGCAAATAACAATAAGAATAAATGTAAACAATAAATGGTTCACAATATTTGCAATCACTTCTCTGTGTATATAAAAAATATTGAAAAGTAAATAAATAATACTTTTTCTAGTTTTTTTTTATAATTGAAGATAAACAACACCTCATTTTGTTAGAAAATTTAAAGCAAAAAATTGGACTCGCTCCTTTGGCTACATTGATTATATGAAGCTTACTACAGGAAATTCTTGAATCAGAAGAAAAATTTATTATAATTAAATTTAGAATTATCCATTTCGTGCTTTCAAGCGTGTAAGAGCGTATTGTGACATCTGTAAAATTTAACGGTCAACCAAACTAGTTTTGTTTTCATTAAAAGTGGGACGTTTATGAAAATGGATCGCTTAACAACCACACAACGCGTTCTAACCAACTAATTTACTATAAAAATGGTGACCCCAACATGGCCACGTTCAATTTTTTGTCGAATTTTTTTGGCATAGAACGTTAAAAAGCCCCTAATGGAGTAGCATCTGAGTAGCGAACTCAAGGAAATGGTTAAAATTAAAAAAAAAATTTGAAGGTACTGGATCGATTACCGCTATTGTAACGCCTGTGCATCATTGTGGTTCACCTCAAATATCACTGCGGTAGGTTAAAGTATAGCCAAAGGCCCGAATGTGTCTATTTACTGACGTTCTCAAAAGCTGAGACTTTCTTGCGGAGTATTTTGCGCTTGAAGGAACAACTACATTCATATAAAGTCCAGCTCACACAACAACTGCAGCCAGCTTGGCCTTCACAGCGCTCTACGTACGTTGATTAGGTGCTTGGCACCTGCACGGCAATTTTTCGAACAAAATATTCTTCAACTACGAGGCACCTTCCACACAATGGGATATACGTGAATAAGCAAAATTGTTACACTTGAGGCGCCGATAATGCTCAAATAAATGAAGAGGGATCATTATTCTAAAAATAACTTACTGTCTGGTGTGCTCTTTGGCTTGGAGCTGTAAATGGATCTTACTACTTTGAATACAACGTATGAGTCGTATGATAACCGACTTTATTTTGCTTGTAATTGAATAACATGACTTAGACAATATGAGATTTCAAAAAGATGATGCCAAGTGCAAAACAATTCGAGGGAAGTACAGTCCAATCTATCGTCTCAGCGATGTCAATTAGGCACCAACCTTGTGCGATGCGGCACCATTGGACTTTTTTTTATAGGATAACTCTTTTGCCAGCTCTAGAGCACTTGAAAGCCAACATTCGGCAAATTATAGCTGTGATACCACCATTGGGTGTGCCAGAATGTAGTAGAAAACTGTCTCAAACGTATCGAAGTTTGGAAATATTCAATTATATGCTGTGACGCATATCTTGCCAAAGGTTCAAACTTTATAATGAAATGGGAATTTCGTAAGAAAAAAAAATATTTTAAATTTATTTTATTTACGTTTATTTTCCAAACTGCAAAATTTAATTTTTGAAAACGAGCGTAAAGTTTGAATTTATAATTTATTGGCATTCAGTTTGGCGTTTCAAGAAATTTTCAATACAATGAAAAATATTTACTTCAATTTTCTAACCTTAATATTTAGGCGGCCTTAATATTTTTATAATTTTCTATTTTAATTTTTAAATCTAATAAAATAAATCTTTTTTTTTACAATTTTGCAGGTACGTACCTCTTTCATGCGGAACTATTTATTCACAAAATTTGTATATGAGCAATGATTTTCAAAATCTATTATTTACAATGGAAAACAACGCACACCCTTTACCTTTGCCTTCTATACTAAATATGCATACGAATGTGCTTGTATATACAGACAAGTGTGTATAATTATAATATTTATAATTAAGCTGTACAACATTCAGTTACATAGCGATAACGGTGATTCGCTATAACACTTCTAATTTAGATGGATAAAAAAATGTATTTTGCGTGAATTCGCATGGACTTACATATCTTACCATCACAGCTTCACATTCACTACTAAATCCTTGCGCAGACTTGTAAAGGAATGGAATTTGGAAAATATTTAATTTTTTTAAGTCAATTAATTTGCTCGAGATTGAATACGAGAACAAAAAAAAAATTAATATTATTAATGTAAATTAATTAGTAATAATAACAATTGTAGACAACTAGCAGAAAGTAAAGTGATTAAAATTTACTAGTAAATCAAAATAAAATGTATGCTTTAAGGCACAGCACGAAATAAAAAAGAAAATAAAAAAAAACTAAAAAAAAAATTTCAAAAAATTTATAGAAATCGTATATCCTCAATTATAACAGTAAATTCTGAACTAAACTTAATTTATATATATATATTTTTTTTTCTTCTCTCTCTCAAAACTCACCATGGCATCGGACAACTGTTGGTGCACATTGTCGCAGAAGATATTCCACCAGAACTGTATTAAATCGGCGGCGTGCGCATATTCTGTGGGCGTGAGCGCCTGGCGATTTTCGGAATTGAACTGTATTAGCCATGGCTTCAATTTGCCCGCAAAATGCAAAATCTTAATTTTATCTCTGAACCTGAAAACGAAGAAGAAGAAAAATGCCGTATCTTAATATTTTGTAAAATCAAAATTAAAAACATTGCGCCACTCACTGTTTGAATGCAGGCAAATAGCAGTAGGAAGCGAATGCGGCCACATTATAGATGAATGGCAAGTGCTTCTTAATATCGCTTTGCGCCCAATCGTCGAAATACAAATTCAGCAAGCCCTGATCGCCGCCATCGAAACTGCCATGTTGCACGGCGAATTCTGTGATTTTGCCGAATGTCTCCAAACTGGGACGATAGACGAACACACCGGAGTTGAAGCAATCGGGCCAGCTGACATCGGGTGCGGCAGACAATTCCTCGCGTTCGAACAGTTCATCGCAGTTTTGCAGCACCTAAGCGGGGCGAGAGGGGAATAGAAGACGAAAAGAAAAATTAGAAACAAATAACCACACACTCTCTCCTCTCTCTGCCTCTCTCTCTCTCTCCTTTCAGTGATCTTTCATTTACTCACCAGTGTATCGGCATCGAGAAAGACACACTTCTCGAATTGCACCAAACGCCAGCAGTGCAATTTTGTGAATGTAACACCCAATTCGGGACGTGCGAGCAGTGCCAAATTAGCGGCATCCTGTGAGTCCAAAACATTCACTTCTTGCACTACATTGTAGACATCTTGCAGGCGCTGGCGCATAGCTTCCGAGACGGAGGGCGTCACCAGGACGGCCAATTGATGGGCAGTGCCGGCGCGGCGTAGCGAATGTGCCAACACGAGAGCACCCAGTGAGTACGTGTCATTTGTGGTAAGCGTCACCCACGCAAATTCTAGAAAACAACAAGCAAACAATAGAAAAATACTTTTTTGAAGTAAACAAAAATAAAAAAAAAATAAAAAAAATATATTCATAGTTTATGTTTTTGAAGCTTCAGCGGAATTTAAATTTTTTTTTAATATTTTTAGTAAATTCATTTCATAAAAGAAATTATGTATGCTTAAAATGCGCGTATTTAAAATATATTTACAAAGGAAAGAATTATTTTATTTTATTGTCGCTTCATTTCCGTTGGCAACTGGCGTCGATTTGCGTTGGTATTTGCACTAGTAGTGGTAAGAGCGGCAGAGGGGCAAGCAACATTAGCGACAGCTGTTCTAAAAGAGCGCAATTTATTAGATTTTATTTTTATTTTCGTTAGCTTTTTTCTTTGAATTTTGGTATATAAAATGTCAGCGCAACGTGTGGGCGTAACGCCATTATGTGTTTAAAATATTTGTTTCAAATGCATTTTTCATGTTTATTTTTCAACTCATATTTTTTATATTTTCTAGCAAAGCACCTGTGTCTTTTGTTATATTTTTGTGAATGGTAGAACCCATAAGACTTCTTCTACGATTTATATAAACTTATAGAAAAATATTTTTCAGTCGAACATAAATACGTTTAAAACTTAAAAAAAAATCCCTGGATGGGCTCAAAAAAGACCAATTTCGCTCCGCTCCAGTGGGAAAGCAGACCTAACCACAACTTTCTTAAACATTTCCATACTACAGTAGATCTAATTATGGCAATCGAATGCTCATCGGCAAATGAAAGTTTTCCAACAATTTTTTATTAGAAAAAAAAACAAATTCGGTAAAAATTTCGCTGATTAAACGATAACTTTCAATTCAAAAACCGAAAAAACTTGTATTTTCATTTATTTGTAAATATTAAATAATTTATATTTTTTTTTTTTTATACTTATAAATATTTTTTAGGGAAAGCTTTTATTAAATGCTTTATTTTTGCCATTTTGTTGCACTTTCTTAGCACTTACATAGCATCATTGTAGCGAATTTTCAAAAAATATGTTAACACGTTAAGTAGTGCCGTCAAACTTGTAGGTGTCATTTTTATCTTTTTTTTGTAGTATGTGTATACATAATAATAATAATATACGAGCGCAATTAAAATAAAAATAGTCGCAAGAATCTGTTTGTGTAAGAGAATACATTTGAATAAACACCACCAGTCTCTTCATCGCCTAAAAATGGCATTTAAACTAATTTTCAAAACATAATGCATTTAAATATTTTCAATATTCGAGTATATTTCTCTGAGTTAATCTATAAGTTATTTGCAATTATGGCCCTATTAACATATTGAAAATTTAACTAAATTTTATTTTCTTATTTTTTATTTAAATTAATTTTTTTATTTTTATTATATTTTATTTTATTTCAATTTACATCATTTCATTTTATTTTATTTTATTTTATTTTATTTTATTTTAATTTATTTTATTTTATTTTATTTTATTTTATTTTATTTTATTTTATTTTATTTTATTTTATTTTATTTTATTTTATTTTATTTTATTTTATTTTATTTTATTTTATTTTATTTTATTTTATTTTATTTTATTTTATTTTATTTTATTTTATTTTATTTTATTTTATTTTATTTTATTTTATTTTATTTTATTTTATTTTATTTTATTTTATTTTATTTTATTTTATTTTATTTTATTTTATTTTATTTTATTTTATTTTATTTTATTTTATTTTATTTTATTTTATTTTATTTTATTTTATTTTATTTTATTTTATTTTATTTTATTTTATTTTATTTTATTTTATTTTATTTTATTTTATTTTATTTTATTTTATTTTATTTTATTTTATTTTATTTTATTTTATTTTATTTTATTTTATTTTATTTTATTTTATTTTATTTTATTTTATTTTATTTTATTTTATTTTATTTTATTTTATTTTATTTTATTTTATTTTATTTTATTTTATTTTATTTTATTTTATTTTATTTTATTTTATTTTATTTTATTTTATTTTATTTTATTTTATTTTATTTTATTTTATTTTATTTTATTTTATTTTATTTTATTTTATTTTATTTTATTTTATTTTATTTTATTTTATTTTATTTTATTTTATTTTATTTTATTTTATATTATTTTATTTTATTTTGTTTCTTTCATTTTATTCTTTTTTATTTAATGGTATGTTTTAAATTTGGTTTTAAAAATGCACATAAACATATTAATGGGCAGTTAAAAAAATTAATTTAATATAAAATTAAATTTAATAAAATAATCTACTCTCTAAAATTTAGCCAAATTGAAACAATCATTTATTAGGTTATCATTAATATATCGTGTAAATTTATTTACTTTCAAATTTCGATATTTACAAAATAATTTCAAATAAATTCATTACTGCAAACAGCAATCTCCAACAACATCAATACATACGAACATATAGTAGATGGATGAGCTGTTATTGGCGACGGTGTGTATGTATGAATGTTAAGTATGAAAATACTGTTAATAGAGTTAAATACATACAAGGCAAACACAGAGGTGATTAATAATTATATTAAATTCATTATTGAACATTATGGGAGAAAATTAAGTGACAATTTACATTAAATTAAAGAAAAAGTTTTAAATGATAGGTTTTTAATGATAAAATTAGAGAATAACGTATAAAAACAGGACATCAATCTACCTTTACATGTATGTATATATGTTTTTAAAATGCATTCGTTATTATCCACGAGCATTTATGTATGTATTGCTGCCACTACATTCACTTGTATGTATGTATGTCTTTACTACAATTAATCAAGGCAGCGAAGTTGCAATCACTGACTGATCCAATCAATCAATCAAACAAATTATCTTGCGCTTTGCTTTGTACTTATTAGTGTATGCATGTCTGTATGGGTGCATAGGTGATTGCGAGCATTCCTGTATTTCCCAAATGCGCCAAAAGTCAGTGTTATAGCGCCTAAAACTGTGCTTATGTGAGCTTATTGGAAGCGCTGTTAGCAGCTTTCTGTGTACGCCCTTTCTCATCATCACTCTTCTTTCAAATCGTTTTCTCCGCCATGTAGTTGTATATGTTTATACATATATATATATGAGTAGTATACATATGTGGGTATATATGTGTGGACTGTTTGGTATATTTGGATATTTGTGTGGGTGTCTACTGGATTTTAAATAAATTTGTGTACATATATTTATGTGCTCAGTTGGGTGTTGTTATATGTGTATGTTCGTGATTAATGTGTCTGGTATGTGAGTTCACGCAAATGATTATCGCATTATCCTAAAATAAAAATGAGTTAATTTACATTTATTTGCTTAGTAAAATTACTTTACAGACTTACCATGAGCATTTTTGTTGCTTTATTTTAAGCAATATTTCTATTTTTCACTAGCACACGGAACTTGAAAGCTTATAAATATGATAATATTCATGCATGTGGAAAACTTTTTCTATTATTAAATTATATATGTATAAATACTAACTCAGGTATTTTTTCAAATCTATAAAATTTTCGAAATATGAAATCGTAAAAAAATTATAGCAAAAAATAAGAATATTATTTGCTGGCATACCTTTAAATTGTTCGGAAAAATTATAATAAGCTTATAGTTTATTATGACTAATAGCTAAATAATTTTTCCTTAAAAATATCATTTCAAAATTCACCTTGTTAGGGTGATGTAAGCCTCAGTTTAAAAATTTTTTATTTAGTTTGAAAAAGCAAAATTTTTTCACTCTCAAAAATTAATTGAAAAAAAGTTATCAAAAATATTTCTATGCGCGTTTCTTGCTCCTAAATTGCTGGCCTAAGGATTTGTAGTTGGAAAATAAATTCAAAGTAATTGATGTTTAAAAAAATAAATAAATAAAAATTTAAAAAAATAAAATTTAAATTTAAAGACGCTATTTGCTGACCAACTGTTACTGTCAGTTGTTCCTAAAATGTTTTAGACAATTTTTTGTCTTTCTTTGAAGAAATCTTACTGCGTATTTGGCCATGAATATTTGTTATACAACAAAGAAAAATGGTAGAAGTGGCAGCTGTTTCGGAGATCACCACATCTCCTCATCAGACTTCTTATGGCAGGGATCGAACCAACGGATCCTGACTTAACAGGCGAGTGTTCTACCACTGCGCCAACATCAGCCATATAATCTGTTGTTGTATTATTCAATTCATTATTAACCAACAACTATTAAGTGCGCTAATTTAGATGCTATTTTCTTAACGGCTTGCTTAGTGTGTGGTGTTGGAATCCTCTATACTTTCAAGCGTTAATTGACTGAAAAATGGATAGGAAGGATTTGTTATGTTTTCTTTTTTAAATAAATAAGTTTTTACTTTTCAAACCCAAATATACTCCAGTTTCTTCTTTGTTTTTTTCAATTTATTTCAATATAACTTTATTTTTAGATATTCATTTTTTATTTCATATAATTTTTTCAATCTTCTGTTTATTTATTTTATTTCATCCTTTTTTTCTCGATTGAATTATTTTTATTTACCTTTACATTTTTTTACTTCTTTTTTTTGCATCATATTTTTATTGTTCATTTTTTTATATCATTTTTTTATTGTATATTAATTTTTATTTTTTAATTAAATTTTTTAGTTCACTTTATTTCATTTACTTTTTCTTTTTACTTTACTTTTTTCATTTCTTTATATTTTTTAATTTTTGTTCATTTATTTTTATTTTTTAGTTTAATTCTTTTGGTTCAGTTTTTTATTTACTTCTTATTTTTCTTTTTACTTTACTTCTTAATTTTATTTATTTTTGGAATAATTTTTTTAATTAATTGTTTTTCCTTTTTTATCTAATTTACTTATTATTTTTTATTTTATTTACTTAATTTAATTATTTTTCTCCCTTAATTTTGTCACCTATTTGTTTTATCTTGTTTTGCATTTTATTATTTGGCTTTGTTTAATATTGTTTCATTATAAATTATTTTTTTTTACTATGTTTCGTATTAAAGTATAATATTCTCA